CAACTTCCTTTCCCACGCTTTTGAGCCACCAAAAGTGAACTTCTAAATATAGAATGAGCGCGATATCCGTTTGGTGCACTGATCCCGCTTTCCTGTCCAGTTCTTCCTTCCAGTAGATTGTTATTCGCCTGTTGGCATAAAGTTCTTAGCAGTGAAAAGAGGGGAATGAGTCAAAGACAGAGGATGAACCGGGAGTTTCTTATGTTTCATGGTTGAAAAAGGAATATATTGAATGTCAAAACGCGAGGCTCAAGCGTTGCGCTTAGTCCGTGTACAAGCTCCTTATTCCTTTTGGACAATGAGTCAGGAGTGCCCAGATTAAGAGAAGGCATCAAGGGACTTGCACGCCATTCACAAGAAATTGCTGACAGACTCCTCAACGTCAAACGGAAGTACTTTCTAACTAAAGAAAAATCTATGGATAAAGCCAAAACAAATAGTTGCCGTACGAGTCCTCGGCGCCATAACCCTAGATCGTTCGAGGAGTCAAAAGAGGGAGAAGTACAATTGTATTGTTCAAGGTCCGGATCTTACGACAGTATCTCCTGACCAGAAGCATACCTCAGACTCGACAATTCGGCTACGAAAGAACAAGAGTCATGCAAACTGCAGATAATCCAATCCATCAATCTGTAACCTCCCACCCACCCCCCTTCCTTTCCATTCTTCTCCACAGGATCAGGGTAAAGCATGAGGCAGTCCAAGAGAAGGAGAAAAGAAAAATATAACCAGACTATGCACGTTAAAAAATTGCACTGCATTTCCTTGAATACTCACTGATCGTGGCCTCGGGAATATCCGCCCTTGAAACTTAGGCAATGATTAGGCCTAGAAGACAATGGATAACGAAGATAATTAGATTTGTACTGATGTGTCTTGATGACGCTCAGACCATATCGTGAAATCATATAAAGAGCGTGGCTGTCAAAGTCAACCAAGTCAGCGCACACACCCCACTGCCCACACATCCCCACTTCCCACACGACAACAAATCCTCGGAACAACTTCCCCCGTCAGCGTGTCACGTATACAATAGAAACACAATGGTTCTCACTCGCGCGATGGCACAGCGGCGTGCAAACACAGACGTCGAAGCAACCAGCAACAGCGAAGCACCGACAACACAAGCAAGAGACTCGCGCGATTCGCATTCTGGAGGAAATATCCAGACAAACAGTCGAGACAGTACCGTCGTCTTTAGCAACGAAGCTGAAGGCTCCGCCAACGTTCATACCAATGCCTTCAGCACTAGCATGGGTAGTCACGGTGCTCTACAAGCTTTCATTACCAGAGAGGAACAGTCCTCCTCGACAGGATCGAGATCTTCTGATACGCAGACAGTGCAAGCTGCGCATGTCGTCGAAACAGAAAATACAAGAAATGGTAAGTCTCCCTCCTCATTCCGAGTCAAAATTCCTCATTTTAAAATATTTATTCAGCCGAGCTCCTTGATAGCCAGCCACAGGCCTCAGGATCTTCCACCGAAAGTCCGCAAAATTCTCGTGAAGGTGAGTTAGACCACCATACATAAATGCAGCATTGAGCTGACATAAGGTCCAGACCTTCCGAATGCTTCCTTCCCACCTCCTCCCAAACCGAAAGCTCGCAAGAAACGCGGGCATGGGTGGACCCGCAGAAAAACTGCAAGGACGACTACTCGAGGTCGTGCTGTCCGGGCAGGCAGCAAGCGCCGAGTCGAGGACGTAGATGGCGAAGAAGACGAGAATAGGCCAATAAAGAGGCGGCGCATTAGTGAGGAGGCCGTTGCGGGGCCATCCAACGCACGTTCAATACCGTTGTACAACACGATTGGTGCGACCAACGTCCGTCAGCTGCCATCGCGCAGCATCGTTTTTCCCGATGGTCCCGCAAACTCGGGAAGCGACGAGGGAAACAGGACGACGAGGTCGCCATCTCCAGATCGTGCACCTGTGAGATCAACGATAGATGATTCTCCGGCAATTGCGGTTGAATTCGTACAGATCAAAATGGAAGAAGAAGAGGAGGATTACCTCTGGGATACACCTCCGGCATGGGATTGGAGTCCAGTGATGCCAGAGTCTGAACTGACAAACGAGGATACGTTCAAGTTCGATAGTAACCGGAGTACGCCGGAGCTATCGACTGAGCATTCCGAATGCCATATAAGTAAAAGCGAGTCGGTCGGTTCGACACCGATTTCGACGCCCCGTGCGCAGTCGGAAGACGTTCAATCGTTTGATAGATCCCTCGTAATTGTTCTTCCGGGAACGATGGAGGAAGAGGAGGCACCGGACGAATTGATGGACGTTCTGGATGAGGGTGAGGACGAGGACGAGATTGATGAATATGTTTCGGGTTCCTTCATCCTTGGTGGCGGAAGAAGGTCAAGGGCTCCCAGCCCTCCATCTCTTCCTCCGTCACACTCCGTCTCACGATTGTCAACTCCCCATCGTGATGAGGAGACAGAAAGCGCTAGATAGTTCGTATGGACGTGACCAAAAGAAGCCGTTCCATACAGTCTTGAGCGTCACGACCATATCCGACCAAGCCTAGGGGCCTTGTGTTTCAATCGTTCATCTCGACAGCCGTCCAGAGGAAAATGCGTACGATCAAGAGATCATTCCACACCTCGATTACGGTTATGAACTGCAAAGTCAGCCTGCTCGTCCACCTGGCTTCTTGTGTCTGTCTTGTTAGTCCGGGTGTCGGTAATGTGTCCACAGACTTTGAAATCGACCATGGTCAGCGGAGCGTCTGCTCCCTGCTATATATTGCCTCTCCAACGCTATCCGCCATTTATCCGAGTCTTCCGAGATGCATATCAGCAACCCGACAGTGTCCTCCGATGCAATGGCGAGTTGAACGACTACCGGGCGTCTGAACAACGTCGGCGATAGCCCTTCATCGCTTTCGGCACGTTTTTCTCTACCTTTCGCTGTCGCGACTGCACCACTAAGTCCTTCCTCGACTTTCCGCCAGTAGTTCTTGTCCTCCACCTGCTCTGTACTTGTACTTGTATCTGTATTTGTATCTCTTGTTTCCTCTTTACTTTCTCTCTGTTTCGCACTTCCTGTACGGCTAAAGGCCCCGTTCTCCCTGTAATAATATAAAAGCGATGCCCAATTCGGTGTCGGCTTTTGGCTTGCTGATCTTTCGAGATCAGTCAAGCCTCCTCATAATCCGAGTACCCTTCAGAAACGAAGATCAAGAAGATTATGTGCGAGACAACAGTAGTAGAGAGTCTCAGCCATCGTAAATTTCTCCAAGTTAGAAGATCCGTACACTTCCGCGGAAGGTGAGATTGGTCAAAAACACCTGGTGTGCACATCTTATATTCATATTTAATAAACACACCACCGGGATAGGGAATGAAACGTCACTCACAAATGGACTCGCTCTGTTTCTATGCTTCAAGGGGACTCTTCACTACCGAGACAGGGTGCAGTCACGATGACTGCAAAAATTATTGGAAACTCATAAGCATTCGAACTGATAAAATGAATTCAGTACGATAATATGCTAATCCTATTGCTGACGTTGCTCACCGACAAGGCGATGTCGCGAAATCACTGAAGCCTACCACATGGTGACTCATGGAACTGAGTTTAAGATCCGATGGGATGGAAGGTCCTGCAAAACAGCTCAGAAAGTTATCAGGTTTGCAGAATTACGATTTTTCGTCAAGTACGCAATCGGCTAGCGCTGGTGTTGGACAGTCAGAGACAAGAACTGGGTGGGGTCACCCTTGAATAGTCGCACAGAGGATCACTTGGAAAGCTCTAGCACGCTCATCCTAAATCCTTATTAATGTGTTGAACTAGTATGCGAAAGGAAAGTGGACTTACGAATGAATTGATTGAACGTTCATTGTCTCAGTAGGCTTCACTGAGAGGCCAAAGGATGCAAAAAGATGGATGTTGACGAGAAACATCGCAAATACACCACCCCAGAGCAATTTTTAATGGTACACTGGTAGCGATATCGATCCATGAACTTGTGCGCGAGGCTTTTGAGTTTTTTTTCGCAGCGGATGCAGCCGAAATCGATTGAAGACTGGTTAGTCAACGTAAGCAAGTTACTTCGGAACAGTGAGAACTGAGAGAAAAAACGTACCGTTCGGGTTTATTACTCGAGCTTGTTTTTGCCTTTGTTAGTCTTGACTCGTGGGCCATCAGGGGCTAACGTTAATCCTCACTCAAAAAACGTTAATAGTGTTCTTTTTTGTGTAGCAGAATGAAAGGGATAAGTTAAAGTTAAAGTTTGACGTGGTAGCAGCTGAGTCAAAATGCGTTAGGTGTTTCCCACGCATACATTTCGAATTCCGGCTTTAAGCATCTCATTCTTAGTTCTACTTCTCCCTCTGTTCCCTCAGATATCTTTATTAACTTTTTATTGACTGAAAATGGTGCGCTTCTCGAAGTATTTGCTCTAACTGCGGGTAACATCGCTGAAATGAATTCGAACAGACAGTGTGTGGTGATTGCGGTGGAACGATCATAGAATACGATGCAGCAGCGGGCAATGGTTTCTGTGTTGGATGCGGGACGGTCGTTGAGGAGAATGCGATCGTGTCGGAAGTTGTGTTTGGAGAGTCGTCGAGTGGCGCGGCGATAGTGCAGGGGTCGTTTGTAGGGCAGGGTGCAAGTGAGTTGTTGGAATTAGTCTGTACTCGAGAAGTTGAAGTTGACACCAAGTAATGTTTATTTGTTGCTATTGCTATTACTATTGTTATGTTTTAGCACATGCAAGGATGGGAGGTCCGTATGGGAAGAGGAACACTTCTGAATCTCGTGAACAAACCATCGATAATGGTATATTTTAAGTTCCACTTTTGGTTTGACGATTCAGTCCTCACGAATTTGTCCTTCTAGCAAGCAGGAAGATCCGGAATGTCGGAGCTCTTATGCGTCTCTCGGAGGTCGTCCAGACAGCCGCAATTCGCATGTATACTCTGGCTCTTGAACATAAATTTACGAAAGGACGGAAGAATATGAACGTCATTGCTGTCTGTCTTTATATCGCGTGTCGACAGAAGGAGACTAGAAACTACATGCTTATTGATTTCTCTGACTTGTTGCAAGTATGTCTTGTTCTAATCATACAACTCATGGCATACTCAAATTTATGATTATTACAGGTGAATGTATTCGACCTTGGACATACATTCCTACAACTCGTCCAAACCCTCAACCTCCGCCTTCCTCTAGTCGACCCATCACACTACATCGCCCGCTTCGCCGCACTCCTCGAATTCGGTGACGAAACACCCAAAGTAGCAGCAGACGCAGTCCGCCTCGTCGCGCGTTTCGACCGAGACTGGATGTCCCGTGGTCGTCGACCAGCAGGAATCTGCGGTGCTTGTTTACTCCTAGCAGCCCGAATGAATAATTTTAGGAGATCTGTACAGGAGGTGGTACAGGTTGTTAAGATTGCGGATACAACGTTGAAGAAACGGTTGGATGAGTTTAAGAATACGCCTAGTGGGGCGTTGACGCTTGCGGATTTTAGGACTGTGTGGCTTGAGGATGAGATGGACCCTCCTGCGTTTATTAAGGGGAAAGAGAAGGAAGCGAAGGAGAAGGCTAAGTTGTTGGAACGCGAGTCTGAGGAGGAGGAAATGGAGGAAGAGGCCGAGGTGGAGATCCAGAAGGAGAAAGGTAGGAGGAAGAGGAAGGGGAAACGGAAACGCTCTGAGGAAGATGATCGGGAGAGTACAGTTGCTCCTGAGGCGGAAGCAAAAACACCTGAACCAGTTCAACCCGATGAACTTAGACCACCCATCGATCCTCAACTGCTTAACCAAGGTATTCTCGCTGGAACAACCGACGCCCCGCTCTTCCTGCCAGAAACAGCAGATACAACGCAAAACACGCCTCCAAGTCCTACACACGTTGCAAACGGAGAATCCTCGACCGATCGGACAGAGAAAGTCGAGCCGGAGAATTCAGAAGACGACCCAATCGAAGAAGCACTCCTATCTGAAATGAACGATTTCCTTCACAACCCGCAAGGCACACGTCTAACAGACGCACTCTCCGAAGCTGAACAACGTCGACAATCTCATTTCACAGGCGATGACGAACTTCTCGGTCTAGACGACGACGAACTCGATGCGTTTCTTTTGAGTGAAGAAGAGGTGAAGATTAAAGAGCGGGTGTGGGTGGAGATGAATAAGGATTATTTGGAGGCTTTAGCTGGTGAGTTATGGTAGACTTATAGATGATTGAAGTTGTGTTGTTGGGTTTTGCTGAGTGGGTTATTATGTAGCTAAGGAGGCGGAGAAGGTGGGATCGGCACCTACCAAGACGCGCAAGGTTCGTTTCCCGTTCTGACCATTCTCTCTTTTTTTAAACAAAAAAAATCTCTACGATTAATTGTTAACAGAAACGAAAAACGGATAACAAACCACGAGACTCCTCAACACCCGCAGGTCTCACAGCCGTCGACGCCGTACGAAGCATGATAAAGAAAAGCGCGAAATATAGTCGAAGGATTAATTATGAGGCGTTGGAGAATCTTTTTGCGAGTGATACTTCTGGGATTCAGTCTGGCGAGAGTAATTTGCTTGTTCCACCGAAAGAAGTGGACTTGGATGTGAAGGCGGGAGATATGTTTACGATTGATCAGGAGAGTATTGGTGGAGAAGGGATGGATGTTGTTGTTGAGGAGAGTGGTGGAGGCGTTGGTTTACGTGCCTCTCCGCTCGGCGCGAATATTAATGGATCTCGGACCGAAAGTCGGCTCACGGACAGAGGCCAGGCGGAAGGAGAGGGTAGAGGAGCGGTTACGGAGCATACGGAGGAGGATGGTGAGGTCGATGGTGAAGGTGAGGAAATCGAGCTTAGTGAGAAGGGTGAGGATGAGTATGTTTGGGATGAAGGGTATGAGCAGGAAGTGTAGCACTAGCACTAGTAAATTTTGGACTTGTTGTAGGTTAGAATAGTTGGTCTTCAAAAGAATACAGCCAAGTGAAACAAAGAGAACCAGGCATAGAATCATTTCTTTATGGTATGGTATGTTCCCAATTAGACAAGTTACTTGCTGCTAAATGCTATATACTGCTTAATAGATCAAATGGAGCATATGCTGCAAGAAATTTAAGGCTCTGTAGGGATATATATGGGCACTGTATTGCGCCACTTGTCAAAGTCTGCATTGCCCTTCATCCACACCTCTCAGTACAAGGTGAATTTGCTAGTATATTTCTTTCTCTTCAAGTACTATTCAACTCAGATAGATACATAGTTTTGCAGGTGCTCGAACTTGCTTCTTTCTGAGTTTGTATACAGTGACTTTGAGCGGAACCTATATTACCATCGAACTCTAACATCCAGTAATTGGACGATTCAACAATTAACCAACATGGACAAATTTCCTAATGAGCTTCTCTGCAAAATATTCATACAAGCTTTGCCGAGGATACCAGTCCTATATCATACAGTTTAGTATGTGTAACAACTTGTAGGATCTGTATTCATACATTATCTACAACTGCCAGGTTGAAACTATGTTTGGTATGGATGCAAAGAACAATTAAATTAACCAATTGGGTATAACTATTGATGAGTGACTAAGAACATGGGTTTGTGTATAGTATGCATTAGCTGCACTCAATTCTAAGCCTTGCGCGACTTGCGCGTCGGCATGGGGGAGAAAAACCCTTGTGGGAAGATCTGGGAGGGTGAGATGTGCCTGAGTTCTTACCTTATGTAGAACACATCCGTGCAAGTCTTGGGAAGTGGGTCAGAGCACTTCCCAAGACTTGCGCAGTGTTCGGACTTTCAAATTAAATGATCTTTCTGTCAAATACAACTGTAAATCATGAAAATTGTAGGAATTCATCTAATTATGTACTAGTTGACATTAGTAACAAAGATCTGCATGACTTGCGCAAGTTTTGTCCTCATTTCCTCCAGCCTTCCAGTCAACTCGGCATCTCTCGCTTCCTCTGTCTGATGTGCCGGGCACTTGCGCAAGGCAATGAATTGAGTACAACTATTACGGGCACAAACAGTCCTGCAGGTGTCTACTTGATTATTACTCCTTCCAGACGGATAACTCTACTTTTGTTGGCTCGGTACAGAATCACTGCTTTCCAGTGCTACAGTCTGCTCTCCATCCCCAAAAAGCTTTTGCATGATTCCATCGTAAGTGGTCCATACGCTCTTAAATATTCGCAGCCTTGCATTGATTAGCCACTGGGGGTGGCTTCCATCTTTCTGCGTAAAGACCTGGCCGAGGAGAAGAAAGGCAAGCATTGGCGGAACCCACGTTGCAAGCGAGACTGCTCGGCCTACTTTTTGGCGAAGTGTGGTAGGAGAGTAAGGTGTAAATGATGAGAGGTATTCACGATATCTAGGAGGAAGTGAATGCTCTTCATCAAAGTCAGCATAATTATTGACAGATGCAAAACACTAAACTACCTTCTGCACCCTTCCTGATGAGTGTGAGATAACGTGGGGATGGCTGTCCTGGGCATTGCCTGGTTCTTTCAACCAATGCGAGGAGCGTGAAGGCATGCACCGTCTCGCCAGTCAGTCCAACGTCTGAATCAGAAGATGTCGTTTTCCCCGTACGCCTAAAAACTTGTGCCTTGACAGAAACCATCTTGTACCCAGCACCTCCACCTTCGGTTGCAATGACACGAGCGAAATCTTCTGGTGTCACGAGATACGCCACACCAATCAACGCACCTTTGCCTGTCCAAGGTCCATTCAAATCCCGTTTGTTCTTCTCATGTTCTGACTCCGAAGAGAAACGACAATTTGCAAATCGCGGTTCGAGATAAGGGATACCAGGCAGATCAAATGTCAGCTCAAGACCTTCGACGAGCACATGACGTTCTTCGAGGGGCGTGATTTTGCGTCTTGCCTTGAAAACGGCGGAGTAAAGGTTTGAACCATATGCAAGATACCAGAGGGGCTCGTTTGGCTTTTCAAGGAGGGAGGTTGCCTCGTCGACATTGCTAGAAATGAGTGCTGGGTTTGAAGCAGAGGGGGAAATAAGAGGATCGTTGGTGATATGCATTTGGGGGACGGTGCAGGTGATCTGTCTGCGGGCAAAATTCCGATAGTATATACATGAGAAGTTAGATTTATATTTACTCCTGATCGACGCCGTTTTAGATCTTGTTCCATGAGCTTCGCCGAGAGCTGAGGCATGACGTGTACAGTCCAGAAAAGCAAATTACCGCGGAAAGTCTTACGAATACACCCGGCACGGGACGAGATGCCTGAGTCACGAATCAAAGCAAATTGACTGGTTAACCGTGGCGCTGCCAGAGAAATTGTTTGCGTGTGAAGAAGGTCTGAAGACACATTTAGATGACGTAACATGTATTACGTGCTCAATCTTGGTATTTCTGAAATTTTCTCTGTCCGGGACTACCACCACCGTAACGTCTCTTCACAAGGTATGGTCTTACCTCTGCAGTGGATGAATACGTAACATTGTTAACTAGCGCGACGTAACTGATGCGTTATGCGGAAGTCACCAAACACCTTTATCCCGTTAATCCAGTTGCAGTGGCGTACAGTGCAATGTAGCAATCGCTTCGATCTCTTATACTACCGGCTCGTGTTGCAGGAGCCGTGCATATCATTACAAGGAGTAACTCAGAACTACAATGGACAGACTACCTCACGACTTGCTCTGCAAGATATTCCTGGAAACCTTGCCAGAAAGACGGGAAATAGAATATAAGCAACGGCACTCAGCTCCATTCCTCATGCCACTCTATATTTCTCATGTATGCAAGAAGTGGCGGGAAGTGGCATTATCACTTGGGGAGCTATGGTCGTTCTTGTGTATTACTTATAATGGCGGTGAAGAGTCAAAGCTACGGATAACAATCCTTGAAGTTTTCGATACCTTTTTGGAAAGAACAAACGGATCGCCTCTCAATTTCACTTTCTATTGCTATCTTTCAAGAGGGCTTCAAGAGGACTCGCGCCGTGTAGCTGAGCATATAACTACCACTTTGCTTTCCGAGCAATCTCGCTGGAGGGATGTCGACTTCGTATGGACGGGCCTACAGCCTTCTCCGCACTTGCAAGGTATAAGCGCAACTAATATGCCTATGCTGACGGCTCTTGCCCTTCACGTGTCTATCTATTCGGATGATGGAGCTCCGATCGTTGCTCATGTGAGCACTGCTCATTCGCTAAGTCTAGAGCGCTTGACGCTTCTTGGTAACTTCACACTGGAAACGGGCGACGATCCGATCTTGACGCTCAGACAACCGAGCATGCTCATGTTCGAGGATGAGTGCACCGAGAGTGCGGCAGTGGATACCTGCGTGGAGTTTCTCAAGTCTGCTCCTCGCTTGACGGATTTCCATGCATGCTTTGATTGCAAAAGCTCTGATTTGACGATTCGACAAAACGACGAAACCATGTTCGTCTCAAGTAACTTACAGAAGCTTAAACTTGAATCTGGCAGACCATCTGCATTTGTCCTCAAAGATATGACTTTACCTTCTCTAGCTGTCTTATTCTACGAATATGGACGCTATGAAGGTGGCGGAGAAATACTTTTTCGTTTTATTCAGCGCTCCTCACCTCCTTTGACATATTTGGAGTTATACGACTATGGCGCTGAAGAGGATGTTTTGATCTCGACAATTCGCCTATTGCCGACTCTCCTGCAACTGCGCATTTCGGGGGCCACAGTTTCAACTCAGTTTTTCCAAACACTCACCATGGCAAGCAATAACAGTGCACCGGATGCCTCTCCAGCCATAGAAGACCATGTAATCTGTCCTGGGCTTCGCCTTCTTTGTCTTGGGTCATTACGGATTCTGGGAAACCGCGATACTTGCATTAACGCACTAATCAGCATGCTCAACTCACGTAAGCAAATCTTCAAGGTGTTCAAATTGGGCGGATATGGCCGTACTCGCGCTGTAGATCTGGATAAAATTGATTTATATGAGCTGCAAGAGTGTCTCAATGGATCTACCTTCTTAGCTCAGACGGACGACATAATTACTTATCCTTTTGGTTTGCGGTAGATTCTCTAATCAGAAGCTGTATGGGTTGGGGAAAAAGTCCTTCAAAGGAGCAATTTTACTCCTTGTTTTTAGTTAGATCGACATTGTCAACCTTTGTTTATTCCACGTAATAATTATACATTTATACAGCAATATGCACTCGATGTCATCTCCTGATATGGAATGCGAGGTGAAGTGCACGTGATGGACTTTTAGCAAACGAACAATTAGCCAGCTTGCGGCATCGTCTCGATCTGGAATGTAACGCTGTTCACCATGTTGTTCTCTTTCATTTTCCACCATGTCTGTAAAGTTCAGTAGCATTGATGGCTATCCAACGGAAACATCGACAGAGCAACGACGAACAGAAGAGATACTAGCTCATCATCGGCCCGATCCTAACCTCCCAAAGCCAGCACTCCAGAAGGCCGCACATCTCCAATGGCTGGTCCGAAATTTTAGTCAAGGCTTCCCGGAGAGATTTGTTAGCCAGGATGCGAGCCAGCCATGGCTTTTCTTCTGGACTATACAAGGGTTTTACTTCCTCGGAGCAGACCTGGATCCTCAGAATAAACAACGGTAGGTGCATATAAAGTTCATTAGAATACTGGTAAATCTGAATGCGTTAAAAGATGTATAGATACTATAATGGCATGTCAGCATCCCGACGGAGGCTTCGGAGGCGGGCCGGGGCAGTTCCCGCATCTCTTGCCAACTTATGCTGCTGTCAGTGCACTTGCATCTGTCGGCCGCCCAGGACCACGTGGCGGATGGGACCAAATAAACCGGTATGTTTGAGGTTGATTATTATTATTATTATTATTATTATTAAGCTTTACTTCTGTCAAATTTGTATTTTATACATGTCTGAAAATCTTGAATGTCAATGTTTTCTGGCCCCAGCTACTAACTGATACTCTTTTCATAGAGAAAAGCTATATGCCTTTTTTATGTCACTTAAACAGCCAGACGGGTCCTTTCTCGTATCGCGCGATTCCGAGGTGGACGTTCGTGGAATCTACTGCCTTCTTTGTGTGGCGACACTCCTTAACATGCTGACTCCGGAACTGGTCGAGGGCACAGCGAGCTTCATTGCATCACTTCAAACATATGAGGGTGGATTCTCGAATGCAAGTCATCCATACTTCTTCGCAGAGCCAGCTTCTTTGGAGACATTGCTTGATTATCCGCGTCCTCCGCTTGGCGAGGCGCATGGAGGTTATACCTTTTGTGCTCTAGCGAGCTGGGTGCTGCTTCGTCCACTCATGAACAAAGATGTGGAGCGAAAACGAGCGATAAATCTACGAAAGCTTACGCGTTGGTTATCACTTATGCAGGGCACGGAGGTTGAGCTTGGCGGATTTAAGGGTCGTACGAATAAGCTCGTTGATGCATGTTATTCATGGTGGGTCGGAGGATGCTTTGCCTTATTACGTTCTCTTGGTGTTGGTGTACACCCTCCTATACCTCAGCAACAACATCAAGGAGACGAGGAAGACGGAGACGATGAACAATGGGCGGACGTCGAAGGTTCGCAAGCTGCCGTCAATTTGTCATTCTTGTGTAATAGACTCTATCCTTCAGATGACATATTTAACCGCCCGGGCTTACAAGAATACATCCTTTATGCTGCACAGCACCCTATTGGCGGATTGCGAGACAAACCACCGAAGTAGCCGTTCTTCAATATGGCCTTATTTTGCTCTAATAAATTCCATCTACAGACCCGCGGATGCCTATCATACACTTTACTCGCTTGCGGGCTTATCTACTGCACAGCACTACGTCTCTCCATCGAATGATATTCGGGAGAAATTCCGAAAAGAGTGGAAGCGAAAAGATGGTATGCTCCTCGTGTCATGAAAGGTTCACGGAAAGACCAGTTCAGTGGCTGAGTGACTGATATAGACGATCCACTCGACGACTGGCGCAAATCTGCTTATGTCGAGGCCCGTACGTGGAAAGAAGAAGAAGGCGGTTCGATATATGTCAACGGGCCAGGAGATCGTCTCGTGCGTTTTGATCGTATCCTTCTGTTGCTTTGTCAGTGGAACTGAGTCATCGCCCAAACAAGAATGCGACGCATCCGATATTTACTCTTACAATGACGCATGTTGGCCAAGTTATGGAGCATTTCTATGGACAGTCTTGACGCTTGATGGATGGTGAGGACAAAGAAGTTGTATTGTAAGTTGAACGGAGGCAAATCATTCTACCCCAGTACTTTGTCTTATGATTGCAGATATTTTTAGTATATCATAGCAGGAAAACGTCAAACAATAAGCATAGAATTAACGCACTTTCATTCAGAAGCAGAAGAGGGTCGGGATTACGGCACAGAAACTTTATCACAAGATCGTCATAGGCGGCCGAACAGCTAACTGATAAGATTGTAAGTTTGAAATTCCATTATCTACAAGACGTTACATTCTAATTGAAGAAACCAAACAGAAATACAAAACATTGCACATTGCAGACATATACAGAGATGATTATGCGGATGAGGGTATTGCTTGACATAATGAAAGAGAAGTGCTGAGATTCGGAGAATGCAAGGGAAAAGGGATTATGCGCTCAACGCAAATACGGCGGAATAGGAACCGAAGGGGATCAAAGCGACTTTTTTCTATGAACGCGCTCACAAATTGACGTAGCTACTCTTTCCTGTCCTTTGAAGGATTGCAAAGGCATTCGTGGTTTCTGATCGAACCCTCTGTGCCAACGTGGCCGCGTCGATGTGCACGATACCACCGTTGTGGAGTCTATAGAGAATGTCAAACCACCAATAGCTCTCGTTCCTCGGTGGAAGGCCCGTATCCCCTCCGCTAACGATCCTGTCAATGTGGTTGTCTAGAGAGCTGACGGATTTGAAGTGGAGACTCGAGAGGAGGTTGACTAGATGCAGGATAAGCACGGGAGGAGCTGGGAGAGAGAGCGGCTGGACGCCAAGGTTTTGCCTGCTTTTGAGATCACTGCCCGGATAGTAAAGCGTTCCAACTGACGTGCGGTTAGCGTTGCTCGTCTCGTTCGAACTGCCTGCTACGAAGAGGCGCCATTGATTCTGGGTATCAACGAGGAGGTAAACCGATCCAACGATGAACGACATTATAATAAGTCCTGAAAGGGCACATGTGAGCTTGAAACTCAAACTTAGAGAGCATCCAGGGAGTACTCACTATAAAGAAGACGAGCCGAAGATGAACAAGAGTTAACGAAAGCTGAATGCCCGAGTGTGCCTTAGCTCGACAGACCGCCCTGCGTCCTGCCTTTTTAAATTGCCTTCCGCTTTGTGGTTGGCCTGAAGAAGCCAGCGGGAGCAAAGCGATCCACACACAGTGAGTGGCCTTGAACGAATACTTGACGAATTTTCTTCTCTAAAGAGCATCCACGCGGCCGAGGTCGTTTGCCTTTGTACTCAGGGCGCATGGAGGGTTGCGGCGAAAACGTGTCAGTCGAGACCTCGTTTCATATGAATATATGTCTGTTTATTGATTATGAGCCACTGGCAGTGTGTCGCATCTCGGTTAAGTACGGCCATCTTGCTGCGGGACCTGTTAGTCGAACACGTTTCTTCATTCCCATTTGGGCGTAATTGCAAGAGGTATTGGCGGTCAAGCAATATAGTTGACAGGAGGCCCAGGTCAGTGGCAAATATCTGTGAAGAGAATTCGCATCCACCTACTGCCAGGGAAGTGGTGAACTTCCGAACCGGGAGGTACGAAGCCTTAGTCACTTCTTTTGAATCGCGGGGAGGTTGCCTTCTAGTGTCCTGGTGGCGTATACCTGTCCCTTCACAGGAGATAGTGCGCATTCAAGGTTGCATCTGGATCGAAAGAGGGACGATCGAAGATTGGTTGGGCCTTCTGCAATATTAGTCGAAGCGTGCGTATAGCAGCAATGTTACATCCCTTCATAAACATGTCTAAATCTGACTGGATCTGTGTCAATGCATTTACGACTCGGGTCATAAGGTCTCTTGTCACCGCGGCGATTAGCCGGTGATCCATGTAAATCCAGATAGAATTTCTGCTTTCAGAGTCTCGACCATCGAATGCCGTCGCGGCAGCTTTTCGTCGAAAGTTGTCGAGGCCGATGTTCGGGCGCTGAGCTTTCGCTTGTTTCACGCGTGGCCGATAAAATAAACTCAATTGAGAATTTCCATAATTAGTCCATAATGCATCAAAGTCATAATAAACACACGCTTCTGTCAAACACCTCAATCATCTATTACCGCACCTCTCCTTGTCACCACAGTCGTAGTAGTCACCGTTGTCGTTGTGGTCGTAGTTGTAGTCGTTTCGGGGGTATTTGTTTCCGTGAATGTGGCCACTTCTGCCAGTTTCTTTTCTTGCTCTGGACACCGCTCCAGTTGCCACAACTGATGGCGCGCTCCAGAAATTCGAGACCAAAGGTTTACCTACGTGGATTTCACATGAGGACGTCGAAAGTGAGAAAACGGTGCGGACAAACGCCTCACTTTTGTCCCCGGAATGGGGCTGCCACTATCCAAGTCAAACGAATACCGTGTGTTCGGCCATGAGATCCTAGCAGTGGGTGTGGGTCGAATTGAGAAGCCACTCGACTCATGAATGAATACCAGTAGTTTCAATTACCGAAAGACATCCTTCTCTTCTCCCGGTTCGTTTTCAACTACCCACGAGGCAGGGAACCCATTCGCCACAACGGGAAAGCCATCCTCCAGCCCACTCTCAATGTTAAGGTAGCTTCCTGTATGCACACTTCGAATGTACCAGCCTTCCCCGAGATTACCAAACTCCCACTAAATTCCGAGTGAATGCTTGGGGATTAACATGCGCTCAGTCTTCGCCGGAGTTTGGCGTACAAACCTGCTGGTTCTCAAGCCCGTGTCGCGGAAATCCGATGATGCTCTTGTTGTCTCCGCCGGACAAGTCCATCATGGAGTCACTCTTGACGTTTCGCATGATATAGATCCCGGGATCTAACGCCGGCAATGCGTTGTCTTCCATGTCTGGACGAGTACTCGGTCGGCGCAAGTGAATTGCGATTGGCGTGGGTATCCTGATCCAGTCGGTGAGGGAGCTGCATGTTGAGAGAGGTCATAACTCCATGGCACGCTTCAATTTATATTGCTGAAGTTGTTAGCGCGCACAAGCCTCGAGGAAAGGGTATGGTATAGGCGAGGTCTAGGTGATGAAAACACGTGGACTGGAGGATGTATGTGGATCCTTCATGATATCTATTATACGTTCTACTTTCATCTAGTAACAAACCAGCACCAATAATTTTCCAACGTGCAAGGAAAGGGTCGCAATGTTTTCAATCTCCTGCTGTTTCGGACTCTGGCTCGGGCACAAGGTGGCGCCGTCGCCATTCTGTTAGTCCGGCTTCAAACACCTTCTCATCTAATCCGCGCGGGACGTATATGAACGTCACACCTGCAACGGTTGCTGTTAGCCTAAGATTGACATCACACAGCAATTAGACATACCCAGTTTCTCAACTTCCTTGTTCCGGTGCTCGTCATCAAAAAATAGCTATTGTAACAACAAAGTTAGACTGCGATGTGAAAGAGCATAGAAAAGAAGGAAAAGAACCATCTGTGAATACGGGATCGTGGTCTTTCTATGTAGTTCCCTAAAGTGCTGAAGTTTTGAACCTAGCGATATTTGGTTACCACCATGAAATGGAGAGCGGCTATGTTATTACCGGGATATATCTCAAGTTCGTCAAAATATTCTATGGATCGTCTAGGTAGTTCATCAGGCTCCGCCTTCGATGGTGGTACTAACAGCAAGTTCAAGGCCTGCCGTGCACTTGACACAGAAAATAAATAAATGATGAAAATTCGATGTATTTTCTTCGTCCTATGTACTTACAGCTTTGGCGCACTAGTCCTTGAGCATGCCGCTATCTTTGCATCGGCAAACTTGAGTCTATGTAAGACGGATGCAACTTCAGGATAGAAACTGATGGTCTGGTCATAACTTTTGTGATAAGTCAGTTTAGTCCTCAAGCTCAAGAAGGGAGTTTCTTATAGCGTACGTATCTAAGATTTCATTTATCGCGTCTCCTTCTCGTCTAAGTGGGCCTGTAGTTCTCATGGGAATGCTTAATTGTTTATGGAAAGTTAGAAATACGTGGCGCGGAGCGTACCAGAGACATGACAATCGATCCACAGGTCCCAAAGGGTATAGCTTGGTGACGGAAGTCAATAAGAAGGTAGGTAGTACAAAGAATGCCCGTACTCTAGATCAAATGCTACGAGCTGGGGATATGTATTCGCCATTCGAGTATCAAATTCTATATGGTGTCCGCAATCAAAACGTAACTCGGTTTCCATCAGTGGGTTGTAGTCGTGAGAAATGCCTTCCCGGATGGATACATCACGTGCACATAGGCTAACGTGGAACGCGTCGGGAAGCGCGTTGCTGAGTTCCTACGGCGAGCAAGTGCGCGGTCTTTCTGGCTTTGATATGTTAACTAATCTGCTTTCTTGATAAGTATATCTTATCTGTACTCATAAATTGAACTACTACGATGAGTTCTATCACCTTCCTGGTGACGGAACTTCAAGTGCGTTTCGCCCAATGCAATTGCGCGGCGAGTCTTACTGACTATTATATCCAAGTCCCTGGCCAGTGAAACGCGTAGAAAGCATGCGGACGTACGCGAAGTAAGTGTTCATATAGAATCATATAGAATCATGTAGCAGGGAGCTGTGGCGGTTACGGTGGATTACGGCGTCATTGCGTTGGAATTACACGTACTGCATAATTGAAGTGACGGCACCTCGTCTTAAGCTCCTCGCAATCCACTTTATGTACAGATAAACTCACTCGCGATAATAATTAGGCAGCTGAGAAAGCGATAACAATCATACGAAACCTGCCCGACCAAACAGCCGGCCGCTTGTCCGACGGTGTGTATATTAACTTAATACCACTACCCTTCGCTTCTCATACTTTGGTAGATGGACCCCAGTCGGACGACCTTCTTCGTCCAGTCTTTATGGGATGTGCCACCAAAAATGCGAAAGTTATTGCGATTTCCTTAGGGTCCCTGCAACGTCTCATTGCACTGCATGCCGTCCCGCCAGCAGCCGTTCCGGCTATCGTGACAACGATGAACGAGTGCATGAGTCAAGGTGTCGATATCCAACTGCGTATTCTTCAAACCTTGCTTTCCCTTATTACGAATTTTCCCGCAATCCATGGACAGCTACTTGGAGACGTAAGTCCACTCCGCGTGTTCCTTGAGTAAGCTTCTAACACTTTCGGTTCAGGCGCTCCTGCTGTGCTTCAAAATGCAAGAGTCGCGTATTGCAGTTGTCTCCTCCACTGCCGCGGCGACACTTCGACAACTCGTCATGTTTATCATTGACAAGGTTGTTGACGAAGATCGCAAGGACGATCTCTCACAAAGCGAACTTACTGAGACAGTCCTTCCAGATGGGACCCATAAGAACCTTGGACCCTCGGCTTTGGATGCGTATTCTGTCGTTGAAGACCTTTGCCTGCTTGCAAACTCAGAGAAACCGCATTTTCTCAGACTTGGTTCTTTGCCGAAGACGTTTTCTCTCGAACTGATTGAAAGCGTCTTGACCAACTACCACGACCTCTTCAGGCAACATAACGAATTACTAGTTCTCCTCCAACATCATTTATGCCCTCTTCTGTTGAAGTTACTGTCCGACAAACCTCTGTTCCCCTTGACACTGAGGTCAACTCGCGTCGTTTTCATTCTCTTGAAGCAATTCTCGAACGAATTCGTGACGGAAGCAGAGGTGTTCTTAGCTTTACTCATCAAGATCATTGGTGGTGAATCGGAATCTGGATCATCGGATGGACAGCCCCGGCCGCTTTGGATGCGAGTTCTAGCCATGGAAATTATACGAGGGTCAGTTTTTACAATTTTTTCTTATGCTACTGTACTTTAGCTAATAGGCACACTTTCTTAGCCTTTGCAATGATCCTGATGTAATGCGTCACATATGGGAGTCCTATGACTCTCAGGAGGGCGGCACTAAGCTGTTTGGCTCGCTCGTGTCTGTTCTCAATCGACTCAGTACGGAGAAACCGGCCCTACTCGGTATCTCTTCGCAGATGTTCGGTGTTGGAGTCTCTTCGCACTCAGATCAGGGCTCCTCTGTAGGAGCCGGTGGTTATGGATTCGATGTTGGTACTGTCGCAGGTATGGTGGCGAACGCGGCAAGCGCAACGGTCACAAATGTCGTGGGCAGAATGGGTGTAGAGCATGGACTAGACCTGGTCAACTCTTCAATGAAGTTGCAGTGGTGAGACTATGACTTTCTTGGAAATGAAATATTTCTGAAGTGTTCCTGTAGCATTGATCAGTTAGATAAAGCTGATGCGCCTCCCATTCCAGAGGCCTACATCTATCTCTTAGCCCTGCAGTGTCTGGTGTCCATATCCGAAGGGTTTGCTGCACAGACGCTACCTCTGTTCAATACTATCGTCGTCCAACGGTCGCGTGCAGCAGGCGAGACGACTATCAAAGCCCCACCAGCTCTCGATGTTTCAGCCCTCCCAGAAGATCAGCCTTCAACAAGGCAGTTAAGATCTGTGCACGGAATGATCGACAACGGTTGGCCTGGCCTGCTGGCAGCACTTTCATTCCTGATCGCGACAAACTTGTCCGACGAGTTATTCGGTGATGTCTTGCAATCATACCAGAACCTTGCGAATGTCGCTGGGATGCTTGGTCTCACGACCCCGAGAGATGCTTTCCTGACCAGCCTTGCGAAGTTTGCCATCCCTTCTCGTGTTGTATCGAGCCTCGATACATACATTGAACCACCAACACCGCGATCTTCAAGTGCACTACAAGAAGGCTTCAGTTCTCTTACCGGAGGCCCGTCCTCACCTCCGGGTCTGTCGGAACGCAATATGGCCTGCTTGAAAGTTCTCATTGCCAGTGCTCTATTCCTCGCTGGGAGCCTCAGATCTTCCTGGTATCAGATATTCGAGGCGCTACAGAATGCAGAATACGTCCTAACTGCGAAGGGTCAGAAGCCTATAGGAGCAAAACGCCCCAGTACGACGAGCTTAGGAGTGAGTCCTACCAGCAGGTCTGTTTCAACCTCTGCAGCCGGCCAACCGACAAACACTGTTACCTCTCCGCCTCGACATGTGATTCTGGCAGACGTGGATAGCGAGAACATTCAACGAGCGATCCAGCGCTTGTTTGATAGCTCAAAGAATTTGGAGGATCCTGCATTCCGTGACTTCGTGTCTGCTCTATGTAAGTTAAGCGCTGAAATGATCGAGATGCAGTCGGTCACTGGGATTTCTTCGGTGGAGCTTGACTCCGAGGAAAGCCTCGCCACATTGACTACCTCTGTTTCCACCGAGAGCGCACATAGAAGGCGCGTCAGCGGCATTCACCTGCCGCGGACACTGGTAAGTGTTGCCTCTTAGTAAGCAAGACTCTTATTGAATCATGAACAGCGGTCTAGAGATTTTAGTATAAACAAACTTGGAGCTATATCACGACTGAATATTCTACGCTTCACATCCAGGTCTCCGGATATCGCCTGGACAGTCGTTATGGGGCATTTAGTTACCGTCCTGAGGAACAGAATAGCTCCTCATTCGATCAGGTTACAGGCTTCACGAACTCTCGACGATATTCTGCTCATCGTCCCGCGAAATATCGGACCTTCCGACGAGCGAAAGACTGCTGTTCAATGTCTTATGCTTGACGTTCTTGCGGAACAGGTTGCCCCTGACCCAGTTTCTGGAAATACGACAACGCTCATTGAAATTCGGAAGATGGGCCTTGAGACACTGCATCAAATCTTGCAGTTTGCCGGACATACTTTGCTGGTGGGATGGGAAACCATTTTTGACATGCTCGGAAGTGCATGCGATCCTATTCCTGCCTCCATGTCCAGTATTCCGGAAAGTGTAGTCTCTTCACCAGCTGTCTCTCCAGGTGTGTCAAAACCGCCACCTCTTCAATTTGTCTCCGTTCCCGACAAAGGCAGTGCGGTACTGGTCAGGATTGCTTTCCAGTCTCTTACGCTGGTCTGTGACTCGCTGTCCGCATTGTCACCCGAACATCTCAGATTATGTATCAGCACGATTGGCCGCTTTGGCCGACAAGCTGATACCAACATTTCTCTGACGGCAGCTGGTAGCCTATTATGGGGTGTATCAGACTCCATTCAGACAAGAAGGAAGGATTCTGAGCGAGAGGAGGAATATAATGCCCTTTGGATGCTCTTGCTCCTAGAAATGTTGGGCTTGTGTACGGACCTTCGCTCTGAAGTGCGTGTCGGTGCTATTCAGACACTTTTTCGTGCCTTGCAGCTCTATGGAAACTCGCTGAGTCTCAAAACCTGGGATGACTGCTTATGGAAAGTGACGTTCCCATTGCTGGAGTCTCTTTCGGATGCGATCAAGCAAGTGTCCTTGCCATCGTCTGCAACCGCAGGCGCTCCTAGTCCTCCTGTTGAAATAGTGAAGGCTTGGGATGAAAGCAAGACTCTCGCGCTACAGTCAGTCGGGTCCATATTCAACGATTTCCTTATAAGCAAGTTCATTCGCTTAGATTCGTTCGAACGCGTTTGGGATACATTTGTTATGCATATCCAAACCTCATTCATGTTTGACTCTGCATCGAGCTGCACAGCGGCACTTCGGTGTCTAGAGAAGGCCGTCAAAGCTGCCCATGCATCGTCGGACGATGTTGCCGAACGAGTGAAGGTCGTATGGCACCGAACGTGGGCAGCATGTGATGATATGGGACAGCTTGTACTGAGGAGAACTCGACCTCCTCTTCCAGGCTATACTGGTGGTGGCCCTACTTCTATACCGTTTGACCAAGATAGTCTGCTTGCTTTCGTTGATGCAATCAAGGCAACACGTACTCTGAGCAAAGAGAAAGAGGGCTGTGAATGGGAGTTAGAGCAACTCACTCGTTTAATGGCAATTTTGAAGGGCAAGTTTTTTCGTTATAGCTTACAACCGTGCGAAGCTTATTGTTGCTTTTTTCAGGAGTCCTAACTTATCCCGATTCACCGAGCTATCGACCAGATATCGACGACTTAACTCTAGTGCAGGTATGTCGGCCTTCATGGTATCTCCACTCATACTCATCTGGCGAAATAGACTACTGTTGTCGGTGCCATGAACGACGTGGATCTGTCGGTGGCAGGGGCTTCTTCGCTAGTCTTACGTGATCTCTCGGAGATCTTGACATTACCATATCTCGGTGCGTTTGATGTGCATGGTCCTGCAGGTGATCCAGCTCGACCATCAAAAGACCCGCGGGTGTCGAAACGTGTGACATATATCGGCTTGACGAAGAAAATTACGACAATGCTTTTGGAAATCTTCCTCCGATTCAAAGAAGTTGAAGTCATTTATGCGGACGGGACACTCGAATCTGTTTTCTCTGTTAGTGATGCTCTTCTGGCGTTGAGTTTTTACCTTGCTGATGAAGTCTTCTTCAGGCATTCGCTGTTCCAATAAAGCTAAAGTACGAGTGTCCCGCCCCCTCTAAGTATGGTAGCGATATCCCTTTATGGAAGACTGCCACTACATCTTTCTTGCTCATTGTGAAAGAGTCCACGAAGATGCTGAGATCTTCAGAGAAAGGTGCGTTTAATGTATGAAATGTTTGGGACAGGATGACTCAGCTTTGAGTAGAGATTCCGAATGAACGAGTTGAAGGTATTTGGCGGCATATCATAGACGTATTCCGAGGCGGAATCCTTGCCGATTGGTAAGCCCTTCTCTATACCCGAATCCAAATCGTAGCTTACGTGTTGGATATTTACTGTTCGTCTTATTAGTCGGATTGCAGAAAGTTTATCGCTGGAAGAACAAGAGGCGGAAGAAATGTTCGACATTTCCCTCGTCGCCTCCCTGGAAACGGATGTTGTGCCTTTCGTTGGAGATAGTCGTGTATCGGACCAGATTGTCATTCAGCTTGCGAAGACGCTTCATCGGGGAAGCCTTCTCTATTTAACTGACGACTCTGCATGGGATGAACGTTCTTTAACGCCTCGTTCTGTTTCGTCGTCGGAGAATACAGCTGTGGATTATGTCGGATCTACAATGAATGTCGACATCACTTCACGAGAACGGTTCGCGTATTGGTGTCTGGATCTCCTGTTCCTCATTGGCTCAGATTTAGTGAAAGGTAAGCACATTAGATTATCCCCTGTTTAAGCTATTGCCTAACCTGTAAATAGATGAGGAGCTATTAAGGCGCCGTATCGCCACACTTACCCTTCCTATCCTGCTTCATCGCTGCCGTACAACTCTTGTCTCCTATCTTGCCGATGAAATGCTCCGAGGGAGCTATCCATTTCCAAGGTAATGGTCCATGCCGTATTTCATGAATGCGGTGAACTAATTCTAGCGCAGAGCACGTGAAGAGGAACTTGTCTACATCCTCAAGAAGCTGCTGGTACTGCGCCTTTGGCCGGGTTCACTTTGGGCCGCATTTTCTCCATCCCCGTCGGCATCCTGTTCCGAGCAACCGGGTATGTCGTTTCTTGGTTTCGTTTACGGGTGCATCCTAAGTTATTCTATTGGATAGGTGTGGAAGCGAACTTGTCACCCCCACAGCTTTTCGCGGAAGCGTCAAAGCGATCCAACAAAGCGCATCTGTTCCATCTCTACACACCCTTGTGTCAAATTGCCGCTCTACCCCGGAAGCCGCCAGTAGCTTGGGCTCCGGTCTTCTCCGATGGTGGGATGAAGAAAGGAGGCTCTTCGCTACCGGCAACTGATCCTCAGCCGGGGAAGGTATCTCTTGTTGCTACAAATGCAGAGTCTCCAGATGTAGAGGAGCTTGACGCGCGTGAGCTAGCTTCTGCGTGCCTCGCGGAAATTGGAAGAGAGTTGGGTGTAGCATAGGCACTTTCACTTTTCTTTTACCTTTTTTCCTTGTTTTACCTTTAATTTATTAGTTTCGGTGTTTCTAATAGTCCATCAGTTCCTTAGTGTTTTGTCTGTAGCTTTGGTGAAGGCTTCTGCGCAGGCGGAAATACTTTCACGACAAATTCTATACTTAATCTTCCGTGCGTACACCGCGTGCCGGTTTTGTAGGCATGATACTCTATTGGTGTGGCATTGTACCCGAATCCAATCTGTACCTCAGTCGCGCGGCGTTTAACCTTTAGGCGATTTGAGGAGTATTACAGTGGCAAGCATCGGATGGCAAGATAGAAGATAGAAGCGTCGCCGGTTCGTACTCGCATGTCTTTAGTAGTTCAAAGTTCAAACCTGGTATCGACTGCCAGTGTTGTAATAGTAACAGTTGTATGTATAGCTCCACTTCGGATAACATAGGATAACAAAGAAAAGAAGTTCCTGGTTTCTCTGCATAGCGCTCGTGATCAAGAAACTACTACAGCGAGGCAAGATGTATTGCTGTTATTGGAGCCGAGTTGACATGCATTGGAAGATCCGAGACCGATGTGAGGTCACATGCAGATACGGTACTGGGAACAAATCTGTTTTCGGTGAGGATGACTGACCCATCTCGGCCATCTCTAACCAATCGTCGGGGACGCGGTCTTGGCAGGAGGAAAAGTGGAACAATTCAGGGAATGATTGAGATATTTCCCGATGTAGAAGGAGACGATGAGTCACCTGCTAAATTTAATGACGTGTCGCCTTTCTACCTCAATGCCCGTTTCATTTCTCCGCTTTAATCGTCTCTTTTGCAATCTGCGACACGCAAGAAAGGAAGAAACAAAGGTACAAAAATAAGCCCGAGTCGCAATTCACCTGATGCTGTTGCATTCTGCGATGAGGGAAATGTCAGATCGCCATGCGAAAGGCAGGCTGTTCAGGCTTCTCGTATTGAGTCCGGGCCTCTTCTCCGTCCCTGTTTGAATGCATGGCTGTGGGCTCAAGGACTTCTTCCGTACCTTTTCGCCTTAGCCACATCAGATTACTTATCACCAGCGTCTAGTAGCAAATCTCACTCAATCTCGTTTGTCCAACGGAAGCAAATTTAATGCAAGTCAAAACATGAAGAAGACAGGAAAAAAATAATAACATGATCTGAATTGATCTATCGGCGATAAACCATCGGCGGTTATTTGCATAGTGTGTACATATTTGTCCATGGTTGCTGACATTTAGTGGGCCGCATGGCCGTCAGCGGTCAGAAAACAAGTGATAAATACCCTGAACGCGTGCCAATCGGTAAAAGTCCGCTGGCTCGGTAAGTAGTGGCTCAAACGAGCGAGGTGGGGGAACCACGGGCCACGGGCTTACACGAGCAACTCACATCTTTTGCACCTTGACTCGGTGCTGTTCGCACATGTCGCACGACTGAGAACTGGTAGGCAACTATCCTATTTCTTGCCTCCTTCCTTCCTCTCCGAGGGCGGCCTTCCACTTTGGTTTTCTTGGTTCTATTGCCTTCTGGTCGTTTATTTGTTCTATTCGTGTATTTTGCTGGTGGCCGACGTTTTACGTGGCCCGACCTCGGTGGATGCCCGACGAAGGTGAGTAAAAAAGAACAAGGCAACTCGTGTTCGTGGCTTGTGACGACTAATCGCTTGGTATATAAAAGTGTATCAGTGCTTGGGGTGTGGGCGTCTTCTTTCTCTTCCTTTCCTCGTCTTCTCTGCAACCTGACGACGAGACGCTGTGCCCGTTATCGCAATTACCGCAATAACAGCGAATACCAGTCCCTCTACGGCTAACTTACGATTACGGCACATCGACACGAGCCACTACCACGAGCACTAGAGATTTCTTCCCCGCTCTGTCAATTAACTCGTTCCTCCGAGTCAACTCCGCCATCCTACTCTGCCGTATTCTTTGCCGTATTCTAGATCAATATCAACAATGTCGGCGCCCATCTCGCAGGCTTTTAAGCCCGGCACACTATATGCCGTACTCTTATATCGGGGTGACCCTACACCAACGCCCAACACCTGGCACTGTGCTTTATTCCTGCCCTCCGAGCCCTTGCCCAACGACCCACCAAGCACACTCCGTGGGACTGCCTGGCATTGTACAAACAAGAACACCTCCGAACTCTGGGCGTATGAAGAGCTTGCCCCCGACCAACTCCTGCTAAACGAGCGCCTCGTGCTCGGCGCGCGTCTCGCAGACCTCTCGCCACTCGGCGAGCACGCGGACGTGGCTTCGGAGCTCTCACTCATCCTACGCGCCGTGCCCGTTCGCCCCGAAGCGCATTCTAGTGTATTCAACGCCCGTACGTGGATGTTAGATGGGATTGGCGAATTGGACGATGGAGGATTCTTGTCGTGTGTGAGCACCTTGGCGCTTGAGAGCGAGCTTGTGAGCGCTGCGGGACTGGCGATGCAGAAGTATATGGAGGATGGGAGTTATGTTATGATCACACCGAGGAATTGTTCCGATAGCTGATTTTCTCCCTTTCTGACCTGTTTGGTTCGTGCCCTCTACCCGTGTTGTCAAGGTGCAAGAAATCTGGGGAGCGAGTCGTAGTATTCTCGACTGTCTGTTGATTTTCTTTGTTTCTGATTCTCCTGTCCTTTTTCTTCATTGCGGTTCTTTGTATTATTGGCATTACAGCTTTTACGCGGATTTACATACTATACTGTATATATAGTCATATGCGTCCAAGTAACTAACATATAGACATGATTCCTGGATTTCCTCCCGACTGATCTTGGATTTATCAATCAGATTCTATCTCAATTTTGCGATGCACATCCACTTCCAGTCCATTAGATACAGTTGTAAGGAGTGTTACAAAGGGTACTAACCAATAAGAAACGAGAAAGTCCTACGATGGTTGATAAATTACGTAGTTCAAGGAAAACGGGGACAGAACCAACACAAAGGAAAGGCGGGGTATGTAAGAAGCAAGTAAGGGAGGGATAATAAAAGGTCAGTAAGTATGTACGAGTATACGCTACAACATCAATATCGACCCCACCGGTCCTAAAACGGCGGCCTCCCCGTCCCAGGACCGTATCTTGACTGCGGGGAAGTATATGGTAACGGTGCCTGGGGATACGAAGACCCGTCCGTCTCATCCGAGAACCGACCTACTACAGTCGAACTCCCATTCCGCGGAGTAAACGTCGTCAACCTCACGTCCTCGCCATACTGGTCGATGCTGTTTCCCTCGTGACCTGGATATGCATTACTTCCCTGACCATACACTTGAGGTGGGGTATATGCCGCGCCATTCTGACCTGACACGTTGTAGTCAGATGTGTTGTACGGATTCCGTGCCGCTGCACTTCCTCCTACTCCTGCGAAGCCAATTCCTGAGGACTTGCTATCATATTTAGGAGTGTTATCTGAACCCTCCACGCCGAACGCTTGTGCCATGTTCATCTTCTGCGTCCTTGTACCAGGCCTGCCACGCATGTAATCGATGAAGAATTTGAGTGAGCCCCAGATCTCGGCGGCGAAGTCAGCTGAATATGATGATGGTAAGCACGACATGGCATGATACGATATGATACGGCAAGATCGCGGATCATTGAACATTCCTGAATTAGGAAAACATGAATGATGAAGACTTACAGAAGTTTATGCTGTCCCAGAGTGGACGTCCGATACCTGTACGTACGCCTTCTTGCTTGTAGGTCGTTGTTGGGTAGGACCACATCATTGCAAGTGCGAAGAACACCATCTGTACAAAGGATAAAGTTATTTAAATTTAGCTAACAAAAAGGGTACTTAAGACAAGATCGAACCTCGATACAGATAGCAAGCGCGTTTAACCCATCAGCGATGTTCGTCTCCGTCCAGTAAGGAGTATCTATGTGTATTGTATACAATCAACTCGTGACAAACTTTCAATGTTCTTCACCACCCACCATGAATGACACGTCCCTCCAGAGCATCGAACTAGCCAAGCACCATTGTTGCGTTAGAGGTATATAGGGACTTAAGAAGAAACTGAGACGCGTACAACGAAGGTCTGATAGAACGTAAACATCACGATGAGCTTAATGCACAAGAACTTTGCAAGTGGTCGTTGGCCCTCAAGCTCATCCTTGGTGAGTCCGTAGAATACGAACAGTCCGTACAGCGCCAGACTGTCCATCACATACAACGTTTGTGATTAATTAACATACGAACGACGATCAATGAGGAAAGAGAGCGGAGGGGTAGAGGATGAGAAATGACGCACGAAATGCTAATGAAGTCGACAATTGCGATGTACGGATAGGCAAACTCGAAGTGCGTCAGTCCTTCGTTCTCGCAAAGAATGTTGAATGCTTGACAAATGATTGCTGCTATTGATACCACTGTTCATTACCATTAAGAAGAATTGGTCAGTCACAGAGTTGGTTTGGAATAGGTGATGAACAGGGGATACTAACATGGACGGACAACAACGTATTGCATTACGAGCCACTAGAGTTCATTGCGATAACAACTGAGCATTAGTTTGTCAATGATGCCTAAGATGACACAATAATACCTTCATTGTATACAGGAAGTACGCCTATCCAAAATATCGATCAGTCCCAAAAAGGTAAAGGCAAAAGTAAGCAATCTTACTTTCGTAGGTCTATACCTCCAGCAACAAAGCTATTTTCCAGCAAAATCAAATCGAAGCGAACAAAGCGACAAAGTAAGGAACCATGGTCAGCAACACATCAATCTCAGCATCAATCACAAACATGACGAAGCAACCAATGGGGAGAGAGAGATAAGAACAGACAGGAATGAAAGAAAACTCAACTGGAATAGGTAGCTTCCGCTTATCTTTCCGCTCGAGCGCATTCCGCGCGGAATGGTCAGACGCAGTGCTTGCGACATATTCAATGATTAGAAGCCTGTATAAAGAGAAGAAAAAAGTGTCCATTCATCCATTCATTCACCCAATCAACAATGATTAATTAGATTCATCGAGCCTGCACAATGAGCGATATGAGAAGATAATTGGACGTACATGAACGCCGAGAGCGTCACTGCCTATTATCGGAAGGAAGCGCCAACAAGAAATAGAGAAATATGATTCATTGATGAGTCAAATCTCCTCACTCGAGAGAGAGTCCAAGAGAAAACGAAACGAACCTCGTAAACTAAAATTCAAGCCAATTCATCAGCGAACTCTTCTTTAGTTGCATTGTTAAAAGCGGAAAGAAGAATGTGGAGGAAATGGAATGCCAAGTGAAGAAGAGGAAGAGGTGGAAAAAACAGGAAAAACAGTACGTAGGGGTATGAGAAAAGATTGCTGTCTGTACTCACCAACTTCAATGAGTTCATAGTAAGTATAACTGCGGAAGTATCGATACGAAAAGAAGGAAATGATCGCGTAGACGGGCGGCATATACAATATTCGGATTCTATATTATAGCGATTCAGGATCATATCAGCTCCACTCCTGCAACAGAACAAGCGAGTAGAAGTAAAATAGAAGATAGCGAGTGACCCAGAGAAGACCAGAAAAGAAGCCGAGAAAGCTCTATTCGTAGCAATAGAAGTGTAATGGGAAGACAGGAACGGGAACGGGATACGCACATTTGACGTTGTTCCGCAGGTACGGTATAGTTCCTAATTAGTGGAAGACGAGTAAAAGGGAGGGAAGTCAGGAGATATCATCGTGAGATAGGAGATGAACGATAAGGGAGGACTTACCGACAATGGGAAAGGACGGAGAAGATGGAAATTATGACAGTCTAAAATTAAAACGTAGAGCATAGAAACTCGTGAGTATATACGACGAGAAAATTGCCAACGTAACGAGGGTGGACAAAGTGCAGACGGAAAAAAAAATTGAGGGCTGAGGATCCATGAGATCCAGAGAAGCTTAAGGAGTTGTGGATATCATAACTCTCGCGCGGCGATAGACTAGAATGATAACTTAAAATCACGAGTATCAAACTGGTGAGAAGCCAATTTTGCCTCCGCCACGCCACAATGCCCTCGGACGGAACGGCCAGCACGGATTGAGCCAAGCACAATTGCCAAGGTAAAAGGCGGCCTACCAGCCTTCCCCGAGCGGACACAAAACGGATTAGCAATAACTTGGCAATCAGGGTTTGAACAAACCGTCTTCGCAAAACATGCACATACTGATAGAGAAGGCAAAAATCGCGATGTACTCTCCATAACAGCACTTCCATAGCTACCCAATGCTCTCAATCACGTATTTCGATCCATCAAATTTTTTGCATCATATCGTCACGATTCCAGTGTGCAATTCCCATGCATCTGCACGAGCGTAGAAACGGCAAGAGACCGAAAGAAGAAAACGAGGAGAGGCCAAACTCACCAGTACAGCACACCCGCCCGAAATTGCCCAGCCTATCCGATGTGCATCCCAATGTAATCCATTTGAATCCCAGAACGATGTCTGGTCCTCTATTTGTGTGTTGTCCGACGGACACGTCGTCACCATCCTGTGTTGAAGTTTTCGCGGTTGTTCGCACTATAAAGGTATAGGTAATAGGTATCGCGTAATGATTCTTATGTTTGGAAGCTTGAAAGAGGGTATATCGCTTCCTGCGCGAACAAGGTGATCCGTGCTATGAGGCGTCAGCAACGAGTGGCCAGATGTTGTAGAGAGCAAAGTGTTGTGTAGAATGGAGAGAGCACAGGGGGGAAACGAGTTTCCGTATTGTGTCCGGATTGTGTAAGAATTTCTTGGCCCGTACGGAAATAAATTAACGTGCGCACAATACTCTCTGCTCCTCCTAAATGTCTGTAACCTCGACTTTGCGTGTAGTCCTTTCGATCGTTTAGGCGGAAACGTGTCCAAAATCCAGAATATATATATACTTGACACTCGCAAACGCCGAACAGGCCGCACTTGAATTTGAAAGAAACGGTGGGGGTCTGAAGCAAAGTCTAAGGATACCAGACGGAGTGATGGCTTTACCGGATAAAATCTCGTACCTGCGTAAGAGTAATAACGCAGACCTGTGCGAACAAGTTAAGATGAGCACGTCGCCGCAGCCAGGTGTTTGACGGCGTTGGACGGAAGGAGAGATGGCAGTCAACGGTTGCACTGCTCTGCCATGTAATTTCTCTTTCATTTCGCGTGTCGATCTTCTTATTTCGATTATGTAATACCGTGTACTAATCAAACGGCAGTTAACACAGGTCGACACCAAATTGACACTAAGACTGCAGTAAATACCTTGGCAAGACTCCATGCCCAGGCGTAAGCATGTACGCAAGTTCTTTAATATCAATTATAACAAGCGATGAGAATGCCGTACTCACTCTCGGCATTATGCAAGGAACTACTCGAGGCAGTGTACACATGTAGACTTAATTCTCCTAGGTCCGCAGTAGTGCTGCTATACTTGGGGACCACATGTAAGCTATGATGACAGCATTACAATGCTCATGGCAGGAAAATCACTCAAGCGAAGCAATATGAAGACCTCGAGGTCAATCCGCAGCTTGCTCCAGAATTCTAGAAAGCTAGCAGGTGTGTTTCGATGCTTCATAAGTAGAGAGCTACGCAGCTGCTTGTAGGTGGAGTGTGGATTAGAAGATCACACAAAGGAATAAGAAATTGAGACATCTGGATCTATCCGCATTGTATGCTGGGAGGTTGGAACGTGGTATGATTGTACTTCTCTGATAGAAAGCTTATTGTCGAGCATCTGTAGTATGGATCACTCCGGCCACCGGCATTGGTGCATACCGAAGAGTGAAAGCATTGATCTACACGTTATCCATTGTCCGAGGATATTGACCATGAGAAGGCCGTATGTTGTGCACGCTTGCAATTCGGACATCGGAGTATACGAGGCTTGTTCCGAGAAAAATAATAATAGCGTGTATTAGTTGTTGATGGGAATTTCTGACACGGTGAATCCTGCGTTGTCATTTACAAATTCCATTCACGGAGGTTTTTTTCGAGAAAATACACAATCGTGCAATAATTACAACCCTGGAAACGGCAGAGATATTAGTATTGTCCAAATTTAATTGCAAGGTCGTACCAGTCACGGAGTTAAATATCCTTTCCGTCGCTTAGTGTGATGTATATCCAAGACAAAGGTCCAGAGGAAGAGTTTGGAGCCTTAGGCGGATACTGCGTCCATGTAAAAGCTGTGCAAGGACAATGGATTGCTCAGCTTTGCACAAGTCGCAGACTGTCGATGCTGATTGGGTGCCCAGAATTCCGATCGATGAGGCAAACAGTTAATAGTCCCGTATCGGAGCTCGGACATCAGTCAAGGAAAAAAGACAGAGAAGCCGTTTAGACGTATTGATGGGGAACGGAAACTGAGAGACGGCTAGTTCTGATTCAGTACGACACGGCAACGAAGAAATCCATTATATAACTAGTTTCAATAACAAATAATGTGCTATTCACTTACGATGGCCTTGATGAACAAGCGAAACGGATTGGTCCAATGGACTTCTTAGCGAGTCTGTACGGCCTAGGGCAAAGCTCCTCCAGATAACGTCATTAGTTCCAAGGTTCTGGCAGGTAAATCAGAGCACAGTTTGAAGAAGGAAGCGGGTGTTGTAAGAACACTCGGTAGTATGGGCTTCAAGGGAAAGTTGCGTAACCTTCCAGCACAAGTGGAGTCCAGACGAAGCCTGTCAAGAGTTTTTCACATCAAGAGCTCATTTATTCAATTGAAATGTCTGTGTCGTTCAGGACTGCCTGAAACTGCACAGGATGAACAACGAAGACACGGTATGGATGCAAGAGGCAGAACGAGTCGTGGGAGTTCAGATAAAAAGAATCTGACACGTGAGTATGACGTCACGCGACTCAGACAAAATTCTCCCGTTCCTAAGCCAAGGGTGCTTTCTTTATTTTTGATTCGCCCCGGCCGGCCGCATAACCCGCACTTCAGGTCTACTGGGGTTGATTTGTTCAGGTATGATGCATACGTATGCTGTGTACGTCACTCGTACTGTCATCACTCCTTAAGCTCCTCCACCATTCATTAATGAGACAGATAAAAGCAGCATGCCCTGGTGCCTTCAGTTACACTCTAAGTCGTATCCAAAATACCCCTAAATCCCTCGAGGACTTAGTTTGAAATTCATTGTAAATATCATGGTATGCATCATATTTATACGATATTATGTAATCTTAGTTATCTTATCGCATTCGATTATATTTATAGGGATCAATATTCTCAGCTATTGGCAGCTGTATCAACGCCGTCATATCTGCGATTGCAAGCGTTGTCGAAACAGTCGTCAGCGCAGTCGTTAGCGTAAGTAGTTCTTCGGTATCTTGTGTAACAGGATCACTAAAGACTGCCTCCTGAATGCAGGTGCTCGTCGCGATTTGGAACTTCATCATAGACATCATCTGCTGCCGGTGTTTCTCAGGGCGGCGGCGTGGAAGAGCTGGAGCTACATACTAGCACTGTTAAGGAAAAGTGACGAGGTCGCCGAAGGAGGTGATAGATGAGAGACTTGAGCATGTAGACACACTTTAATCAGTTACGAATTGTATTTTTCCAGCCTCCTAGCTTTCGCATACATAAATCAGAATAGTTTCTGGTTAGCCTCACGAAGATATGTAGTAGTGTGATCAGGAATGCAACAATGCAGCACCCGGTTATTAAGGTGCAGCTCAGAAAGCAAGGGTTCTGAGTATATGAGTATATAATATTATAATGTTTAATATTGTACCATAATTTCTGTATAAACTCAACGAGAAAACCACCTTTTCATACCGCACGTGCAGTTGGGTGCATTGCATCGTGCAGGACCTGAGTCAACTGCTGGAGCAACCACATTTATCTCCGTGATCATATCTCGGGAGCTAACCTATGGAGAAATGGAACTGAAGTTTCAGAAGTATGTACCTGCCTCCGCACCCCTTCACAGTCTCGGGAGAATATGCTGACTCATTCAGATGACACGATGCTGTCCGTCCTCCCATCGAAATTGACTGAAATGTTATTCAACAAGGGGAAATGGATCGTTTACTAAATCATAAATATGCAATCTAGGTCTGGCCTGCGGCAATCAAGGACAAATAAAAGCGAAACTGCACCGATGAATTGCCTGGAGCCCGCCTATCTTATGTCCGAAGTGGAAAAATGATATGTATCGCGTCGGAAATAAAGTGGTAGACCGCACATCCGTCATGCAAGTTCTTTGTTTTATTCTATCTACGTGTGATATTATTGACACATTTATAGATCCCGAGTTACCAGGAGTGTTGAGGTCAACCGATAGAGGCTACGTGTTTTGGTGAGATTCATATTTAAATGAAGATGATCAATATGAATGCTCGACATAAACGTTAACTTTGTATGAGGTGATGACTTCTTTCGAACTTGTTTGAATAAAAATTGCATGCTCACTCATTCCGGTTCTGTCACTTATTACTTTTCTCGATTTGAGACAAGGAGGTAAAGCATAAGGTTTGTATTTGCTCACCTTGAGATAACTGAACTTAGTTCCTTTGCGTGCTGGCACAAAGGCATTGGAAATGATGGAAATGATAAATTACATGTAATTGGAGGCACTATAAGTAAGTACTGTTTCACGTGAAATCGTGGGATACTAGGCCCCAACGATTACCGAAAGGCGTCTTTGCTCAACTGCTACATCCTCCGATTCCTCGCCGCTCGCGCTCTGCACCAGATAATTCCACTAATTCACGACGCTTTGCTTGATGGTAAGAACGTTTCACTGTGCTCCTTTTGTCTAGACGCTCAGACTGTCTTGATGAAAGAAACAAAAACCTACTGTTGGAAGGCGCTCTTCGGCCTTCACTTGAGCTCGGCCATTTACCAGTGCTTCTTTGCGTAATAGAAACGGCCGCTCTATATAAATTTATACACTAATTTTCGAAGGATCAATCAACTGCATGTGAAATTCAGGAGCGGTCGCTTTCGTCGAATTCGATGCCTCATCAGTTGCTGTGACTTGTCGCTTTCGTCCGGTTCCGCAGTTAGGAAAGGTCATGTTATCTTCTTACCGAGGTCCCGTGGCCCTGCTCTTGAACGCTATGGTTCCGATATTGAATGGAGAAGCATGAATAATGTCATGCGTACAGTGATACTTGGAAGATAGCTGCCTTAATGAAGACGCCTACCGCGATAAGGCTCCTGTCGGAACCCAGTTATTCTTCTCAGAATATTGTATAGGCTTCTTAGATTCTTCCCGGACCTGATAGGCCGTTCTACGGCGCTTAGTATCCTTCTTTCCGGTCAGATCTACAGGTAAGATCTTCAATTCATCCCTGCATTTGTTGATAGAGAAGCTCTTCTGCACAGCTTCATCCATTCTAGGGAGTCTTTACCTTAACTCTCCTCGTTCGCCTTGTCTAATTTAGCATCACAGATATTATATCATTACCTTTGATATCTCCACTCTAGTATATTTCTGTAACATAGGTGGGTACCACACAGTGTCTCCTGTTTAACCTGGCTCGACTATTAGTCACCTTTCGGGACGTCTTGTCTTCCACCATCCTGCCGCTAAACTCTGCAATGTTCTCGCAAAGGTATGTCAATAGTACTAATCGTGTGAGAGCTCAACAAGAATAACGTATTTAAGATTGTAAAAACAAGTTCAACGCGGTTTAATTCGTGGATTCTCCAAAGTTCTGGTAAGTAAAAACGGCTTCGCAGAAGAATACTGTATGACCAGGATAGGCCCTTCCCTGTGCTGCTCGAAGATGATTCTGGATAAATTTAAGGTTATTTTATCAGGTTCATGAATTAGGCCGACATTGTCGGAGGTTCTGATGAGAGAAATTGACGTACTTGTAAGTTATTCGAGATTCATGGAAGTCGGGATAGTCTACACAAAAAGAAGAGCGGATGAGAAGAGAACAAGTAATTTGGGATTCGAGGCTTTTCTAATTTGTCTCCGAGAAAACATTTCGAAGTGGATCGGGGAACTCTCGCGAACGTCATCCCTCAGGAGGACATGATACGTGTTTTATGAGAGGAAGGGTGTGTTAACTTCCTCGTTACAGAGCTTTGAGCGGTTTCCGCCATTCTATACAATTCTCAGTAGTTCTTCCACTGCAGATATGCGCCCCTATTGCAACAGATTAACTGGAATACGACTACTGTCTATTGGAGTCGGATTCAATACTCCAGGATCCTCTTCATTGGACTCCAGAACATTCATGTTTCTGAATGGGGACACACGACTGCTCCAAACAAGTGACATATGCATAGACACTCGCCATCGTTGCGTTGAAACTAAATTTAGCTTAATACGGTGAGTCGTCAAAGCACCGCCCGCGCCCAACGACGAAGAAGCCTCTCGACGCCGGAGCGCCCGGTCGGCTCAAAAACTGTCCGTCATAATGCAAGACACTGGTTGATCGGTTGTGCCGCTACCATTGACCACTGACCACACTCCGCGGTACATCCGAACGTTTACGCGCACTTGATTTACATCCATCCCGCTCAATCACTGGTACATGAATGAAGTCACGCTTCTTACATCCGTGTATTAAATTTACGGAACGGGGTAAGCTCAAGTGGAAACTTCCGATTACTTGGTTACCTCCATATTGCAAATGCTAAATGGTCTGCTCTATTTCCCAACCATGTCACTCGTCATCCAAGAGGCCAGTACATACCTCTAATAGTACTATGAAGCGATATGGTTGGCGTAACCAAGGCACAAGAATTTCGGCTAACGGCATGTTCCCACACTGTTCAGAAGCTTCCATCCACTCGAGGCCCTTTCGTCAATCTCTTCGATGCAATTCGACTTCCCTCTTACATACATCAGATATGGTAATATGAGATACGGGTCTGCTCCTTAGACTTCCGACTTTCGACTTGTCAGTCAGACAATCTGTTGTCAAATGTTCTCGGGATAAAGCGAATCCGCCGCCGCATCGGCCATACATGCCAGCTCAATCGTAATCGATCGAAATAGACGAAGCTTCTTTTTTGATCGCGTATCTCTCTAACTGGTTTGCAATATGAACTCGAAGCCGCCGGGCACCTGGATCTTTTTGCATTCGAACTTACCACGATAATCCAAGTTTACGCGTCGTTGGGCTCTCTTGAGCGCGTCGTGATCGCGGGAATCAAGCCAATTGAATTTCTCCCCATGAAAAAAAAAAACGGTGCATGGAAGGTGAAGTTTTTCCAATCTTAGATTTTCCTAGCTCATTTCTATTTCTTTCTCTCTTGCATTTCTGCCCGCGTCGAAGCCTCGAGAATTTGAAACAATCATTATACCAAGTAGCAATGATCGACAGTAATAATGAATTAGAGTTCTCGTGCCCCCTGGTACACCCCGGAGTCGAGAGCCGCGCTTGGGTGTTCCGCCGAATCGCCACGACTGTTGCTATCCGCTTATGCAAGTTTTTAATCAGTTGCCCATCGACAAAGTGGCCGAAACATCCACGGAGTTTTGCATCCTTTGATCAGTACTATTTTGCATGCTCTGTGCCGCGATTTTTTCCACTTTGGCGCTGGAGTGTCCATGAAAATAACGTAAATCGGAGCGTGGTATAACAACAAGCTGCTTGGTTCACCATTTGTTGACTTCGTGACGACTTTGCAAGAGCCCAGGGTTTGAATGTTGAACTCCTGACAGGTTTCAGTTCCGGTAAATTGCAATTGCACCCGATGTTGGTACAAAAAATGACTAATCATGGCGATTCAAGAAACTCAATTCATCCATTTCCGTTCGTTCCTGCGTTTCTCTATGCGCCAATTTGTTTCGCCCACTCCAAGCCCACCACTATCGGTTCGCCTTGTCCGATCATCGAACGCTAATCTCGCCCTGAATTATCTGTCATATTCCCTCCATCTCCATCGCAGTTCATGAAGAGCTTGCGGTCCGAACTCTTTGGCTCCCAGATTCGCGGGATATCAATTTTCAAAAGACGTCTGCTGTTTCCGTGTTCGTAGCAGTCTCAAGACGCCCCGCGACGTCTCCCGGTTTTTAGTAGTATTTCGCATGCGTTTGTTAATATTGACCCTTTTTTCGCGACTCATTGACGGCAGACACCGAGGACCCTCTGTTTGCTTCGGCTGCCGCATTCCTTAGCGACCGAGCCTCTTTCATCTAACGCGTTCATTTCGAACGCGTACCAGACGTCAGGTCCGCTGCTCACGCTTCTTCCTATCCTGGAATGCGACTGGCTAGCCGTGCAGACCTTTTCCGGTCCTAGGTAATTAAGTGATGTTATTACGGCAAATCGTCTCTGCACATATATATGCAATAAAGTGGAAGCAGGGTACCTTGAGCTGCCTTGTGCAAACTCTTTCCCCTTCCCTTTACATCGCCCTTCACTCTCTACTAGACTGTTGGCGCTCTGCAGTCTCCACCGACCCCGCCTCCGCCGTCACGTCGCAGGCAGCGCAGCCCGGGTTCAACCATTCAACCTCGTCGCAAGAGAAAACGAATGCGGCCCTCCGAACACGTGTCGCGTTCGGAGTTGGGCGGTCCTGAGCGGGGACTCCGTGAGACAGAAGGGCGCGCTCAAAGTCCGAGCCCATCCTACACTGGCTCATACGGATATGGAGATGACGACGACGATGAGGCCGAAGACGAAGAATATGCACTAGAGTCTGATCGTGGTTCAGCCGCTGAACGCTTCGGTCTCGAACCGACCCCAGCGAGTGCGAGCGCTGTTCCAGCGCCTCAACAGAAACCAAAGCGCACGCGTCAGCTCACGACGCCCCAACAAGCCGCTGTGCTCCATGCTCTCCTTGCGCAGGTAAATATTCTCAATCTAATCATTCTATTTTTCTATCTTGCTTAACCTGTTGCATTTGCTGCTTCCGTTGTGCAGTCCAGATTTCCGACAACTGCTATGCGTGAGGAAGTCGGCAGACAGATAGGCCTTAGCGCCCGCAAGGTACAAGTGAGTCTATGTGGCATTATATCCCGACTACCGCTAACTTACCTTTGACAAAAAGGTTTGGTTTCAGGTATGTATCTGTCTAATAATGACCCAATGAACTGTCCTTTAATTCATTTCTTCGCATAGAACCAGCGACAGAAAGCTCGCAAAGAGAGCAAGGAGGCGGCTGCGCAAGCCGCTGCTGGGGCAGCTCCTCGTGAGAGTCGACCTCCTCAGTTCTCGTCTTTTCCGAATGCACCGCCTGGTGGTATCGGAGCGCCTAGCCAAGCCTTTCCAGAGCCTACTTCAGCTGCAGGGCCTCGGACGAGCATTAGGCGTCCTGGTGAGCCTGGAACCCTAATAACTTACGAGCGTGGGCCTGGTCCGAGCCACACCTCTTTTCCTCCCGCTTCTGGATATGTTCCCCAAGAGGCACCTCCTTCTCGTCGTGCATCCGAGCCGTCCTTCGATATTCGCCCTACTTCAAGCGTGGTATCAATTCGAAGGTCGTCTGGGGATGATTTGACGGGTCCTGGTGTCCCCGGAGCGGGCGTGGCAATTGAACCTTTCCCACAACCATCGTGTCTCCCATCTGCTTCGTCTACGCAACTCAATCGTCCTTTATCCCCGCAGCAGGGTCTTCGTTTACCACCGGTACACACTATTACTCCTCCTCTCCCCCCAATCGGCCGCCGCGAGGGACATGCTGCTGTCCCGGCCATTCATCAGACTGAGCGTATTGAAGAACATCCATCGCCACGTTCTCTTCGTCTTCCTCCCATACAACTCGGCCCCCATAACGGCCGTCACCGCTCGTTTGAACAAGGTTCGGATGTCATACAAATGGCATCTGGGCGCTCCCATATACCCATTTCGTCTCGTGCCGCTTATTCTAGCCCTTCTGCTTATCACCCACCTCGAACTGCTGGTGTTGGTCCTACATTTTCTCTAGGAAGAGCTGAGACACCGCCTGTCTCAATGGCTCCTCGACATATACCCCCACCTTTTACACTTGAGCCTAATCCAGAATGGCAGCCATCCTCGAGTGCAGCTTTCGCAGCCCGCACGCGCACACAATCCGGTCCTGTAACATATGCCACGCCAAGCTCAGGTAAGCTAACAAAAAAAAATTACCTCTGTTATTAAAGGTGCGTATTAAGGTTGAGATGCTCTTAGGCCCTTCTAGGCAGCGCCCGACCGGTGACGAGACTTCTATGATCGAGAGTCGCATGCGGTCGACGCCAGCTCGCACTACGCGCTTCGATCCCGTGCGGAACACCGAAGTTCCCCCACCAAGCCAACACACGCGTCGTACGCACTCACGCTCCCCAGACGATGATTAACTCGAAATAATTCTTAAATTTAAGAAGCAAGCATACCATTGTACATTTAGCCTCTTCGCTATCATTCCTTTCGTTCGGAGTTCCCACTTTCCGCCTTCGTAAACTGATATAGTTGAAATATGATATCGGTGCTTCTCTCGGACAGTATGTAGCAGATGGACATCTATGCCCATCGCCTATCGGAATTTCGTATTCAGCACAGGAAAGAATAATGTTGTATTCTTGTATACATATCAACGTAGCCGTTTCTGACACAAATTTTACAAATGTTATTCCTTAGTTATTTAGACATGCACGCAATAAAACCATATTGCTTGGCTTAACCTGAATAAAGAATTGATCAAACTTCGCGCACGTAATATTCAATCGTTCCCCCGTCAAATTTGCAATGCGTAAATCCTGTCTTGCTCTCCCAGAGTATGTTTGGTCAAATCAAATTCTACGTGTACGTAATTTACCTCCACTACCATTGTTGTCTTCGGTTGCGCCTAGGTATGGGAACTGCCGTTGTACTAAGTACATGAATGGCCTATCACAAAAGCGATGATTTATTGACCACCTCTCCGTCTACTCTCTAGCACGGCTCGGAGCATCCTCTCCCGATTTTCCGATATTCTAGGCTGCTCCTCGGAAGCATTTCTGTCCGTAATGCTCGTACGAACATGTGGTGCGTGCAGATGCTTTTCCACAGCCAACTTCATCTTTAGCCGAGCTCGAGTACGCGCTTTAGATTCGAGATCTGGGTCCCTGCCTCCGCCCCTCACACCAGAACGACCACTGTTATTGGGGATTGACCTTGAGGGGTCATCTGGAGATGACTTTTGACGATCAGCCGAGCAAGGGAACACTTTGGTGTCAGCAGTATTATGCTCTCGGGTAGCCTGGACTGCGCGTTCTGCTTCGAGAGGACTAGCTAGGTTCATGTGTAGGTCTTCAGTCATTTGATGAGTGTGCAAATCTAAAGCTTGGTCAGTAACATGTGACAATGTCCTTTAGCATCAGCCGACCGACCATTTTGTGATACTACAAGTGGATTAGGCGGAAGGAAATATATTTCCGCCTCGCCGGTCCGCCCCGCAGACTGCTTTGGATCGGTTATCCTTGACAACAATGAAGGACTTTCATTGTCGAGTCGTGACGACCGCCGGTGTTCCGATGGGCAGTCCTCACGTCCGATGGACGGCATTCGAGGTTGTTTCTTCTTTAGTTTTGCCTGAGTGTCCAACAAATGCGCCTGTGCAATGAGGAGCGGATTCCGGCTACGTAAATGTACTTGCGATGCAGTTGATTTTCTATTCGATTGTTCTTCGGCCAAATCTTCTTGTTGCTTGAGATCGAGAATATTGCTCGAAGCTACGGATGTATTAGTAGAAGACTGAGGATCTTGCACTTCTTTTGCACTTCGCGGTGATTCAATTCTTTCGGCTCCGTGACTGTGACCATCCGTAACACGCGGTTCCAGTTCTTTAATTGGCGAAGCTCGTTGCTTGCCTTTACTATTCAATTCCGAGTACGATGAGGGAATCGCACTGGAACCCATAGCATAAGAAGCCTGGAACCTTTCATCTGTCGCTGGAGGTGTCAGTATTTCCGTTGATCCATTGACGCGACCGTCATCCAGCGGGGTATTAGCATCGGCGGTATCGCTTGCTACATGGTTTTCCGCATATTGAAACGGCGGGGCGCCTGAGGAACCTTTGGCTATATTATGGTTGGTATCCTGGCCCTTTAATCTTGGCCCAAAGCAGCTGTTCCCGTCGAGCGGTGGAGACCGCCCCGAAGTGTGATGGCGCAACTCAGATCCCAACGGAGTTTCCGGTTCATTGATGATATACTTCTCGGATGCAGTCTTTCTATCACGATTCGCTCGTTTATTAACTATCTCCGGAGTGTCATACTGCAGAAGTCATGACAAGGTCAATATAGCGGACTTTGTCGCCAAATGAGAGGACAAAGGAAGGAATCTCACCTGTGCGTTCATGTCATAAGCGGATAAGCTCTTATACGGTGATCGGAGGAAGCTGTAGAGTTCTGCAAGACCGTCAGAATATTTCTGAAAATATCAAGTCTGATCGTAATCTTGGATTGGACACATCGGGTTAGACACTCACCGTGAGCGAAGTGCTCGGCGTTAGGGAAACGCCTTCCTTCGTAATATGGATGGTCCATGTCCAGGAACTCGGCCAACAGCTTTATTGCACTTTCGGAACGGATGTCTATTACCTTCATGAGAGAAAGGATGAACGTTGTCAAAAACTGGAAAGATGATAATTCAGTTCGCGAATGCGCGACGATAAAAGACTAGCTGCTTTGTGCTTACTTCTACGTCGAGATTAACCCAAACGCGAAGCTCTCGTCGAATAAATATCGTAGCTCGACTAATGTAATCTTGAGATGCAGAGAACTGAGCTGGGGTTGGGAAGGGACGGTAACGCGTGAACGTATTGGAAGCGACATGCTAGATAATCAGGTAAGATGTTGCATTGTTTATCATTGACGAAGTTCTTCTCAAAAAAACTTGTCTAGACGAACCTTTACGTAGAGGTGATTATGGTAAACCCATCTTCTCCTATCTATTGCTCTTTCGAGTTCATCCGCGACGTCTTGTTCCCTCCGCAATCTCCTTCCCCATCGATGTTCTTGCACCCGTTGTACCGAAGATCTTCGCACCCGTCTAAGAGGTTGTATTGGCGGAGGTGATGTCCTGAGCGGCGGAAGATGGTACTTCTGATAGTCGAAATTAGAGCGAATATGATGGATTAGGTATGGTCCAATGGTCCTAGTACACAGCGGACAGCGCCTCGACTGATCTAGAACGCATCTAATTCACCCATGATGCCATGTGCAGACCTTTGAAAACTTACCAGTCCAGGTGACAATACATTCAAAGCAGAACTCGTGAGAGCACTCGGGTATGACAGTCCGGTCAAGCAGGAGCTGCAAGCAAATGCTACAGTGGTCGCCGTCTACTTCCTCTTCATGGCCGTAGTCAGCAAGAACTTCGTCTTCAACATCGTTTTCTAATTTGACGCGCTTTGAAGAGGAGCGGCGCGGACTCGGAGTTCTTGACATAGCTACCGATGCATTGAATTCGACCACTCAGGTTTGTCGTCTAGTGAATGCCGTACCTTTGAGCTCGCCGTCGTCGTGTGCGTATGTTGTGGTAAAGCGGAACAAAGTGAATTGTAAATGGCATAGATAAATCACATGATTTGATTACGTAGTGTGATTAGCTCACCATAGTAATCACGTGAATACTTTCCTTTTTTGCTAAAAGAAGGGCGTGACCACGGACCGTACTCGACGACCACGATGAGCTCGAAGTCTGTCTTCCAACAACCACAAGCATCGACGTCGTCGGGAGAGCCAGAGGGTGCCAGGCCACGTATTAGGCTAACTATCAAACCTCTGAAACTCAAATCCGCAACTCCTTCAACGTCATCTGTTAACTCACCATCCCATGAAACGCCAGAATCCACACCTGCACTGAGCCATGCACGAAACTCAATCACGATCAAGCCATTGAAGCTCAAACCGTTGCGATCGAACTCTATTGCTGAGACGCAGCCGGCAGTTTTCCAAGATGAAGAAGTGAAACCTCGTCCGAAGATAAAAATCAAGCCGCTCAGACAGACCTCAGTAGCCAATGTTGACCCGGATGCGATGGACGTGGATGAGCCGCCGCCACCTGAACCTGCGCCTGATCCACCAGTTGTTGAGCATCCCGTTGATATACTGCCCCCTCCGCCTCCACCTCCTCCGTCTCGGCCTTCACGACCTCCGCCACCACAAAAGCCAAAGATTCCTCGGCCGATCAAACTCAAGCCGCTTAAGGAAGTGCTCAGGAGACTTATCACTCAGATAAAGAGGTACGAATGAATTTTCATTAATTTCTATTCTCTAAAGTAACATTCTCCTTTCAGGAAAGACGATTATGCATTTTTCTTGAGCCCAGTGGACCCTGTACAGGTTGCCGGATATACTGATGTCGTGAAAAGTCCGATGGACTTTGGGACGATGACAGAGAAGATAGAGCAAGGCCGCTATCGCTCTCTTGAACAATTCAAGGTAGTTCTCGACAATTTCATTTCAGCTCATCCCTTCTTCATGCTCCCTTTCACAGGACGACTTCCTGCTGGTCACCTCTAATGCGAAGACCTTCAACCCCCCTCCATCTCTATATCATTCAGAAGCTTCCAAAATTGAAGCTTGGAGTCTAGACCAAATAACTCGAGCGTCTGCCCAAGTTATCGAATATGAAACAGATTGGACAATCGATGTCGTGGCTGACGAAGGACCAAAGCCAGCAGACGCCGAACCTACGGATAACGGCCCAATTGATTCAGTGGCAAATTTGGGGGAGACTCCAGCTAAGACTAGAAGCCCAAGTGTCATGTCTTCAGCTGCGGGAACAAGCAATATGCCCGCGGAAAGGACCAAGAAAGGCCTAAGAGGCAAGAAGGTACCTGTAGTCACAGAGAGTTGGGAAGAAGGTGGACATCTTCCGGGATTCAAGGATGGATTAGGGGTATTTCCCTCTGGTAGTGAATTCGCTGCATTAATGCTAGAATTGAAATTAAGAGGTATGGGATAAACTTTTGTCCAAAGTGCCTTGACATTCACATTTCAATAGGGAAGCGCTTCCGTACGAAAAAGGAACGGTTGAAACGAGAGAAGGAGGGACCTCCATCTGCAGCAGATGGAAGTCTTGATTATACAGAGAGTACGTTTAGTTATTTCCACCCCCAAAAGATGTTGCTATTTACCCATATACAATATAGTGGAGAATCCTTATACTGTCCTTCGAAGCCTTGCTCCCAAGCCTCTTGCTGTTCCAGAATTGATTCCGCTAATTAATACTCGATCAACCCCAATTGAATCCATTGCGAGCAATCCGGACGCATCACTACCTCCTGAGGAGAAACAGGATGTGCGAGTGGACGGCCCAGTCTCTTTTCCACCGGAATCTCTTCCAGCGATCCTTTCGGATCCGAGCAGACATGCATTCGTCAATCCCCCTACGGCAACGACGACAGTGGGAAAGAAAAAATTACGCCACTGGACGATCACGCGTAACCCACCCCGGGCGACTCGGGCAAAGGAAGAGGAGGATGACTCAGGGTCGAATGGCCCTCGAGCCAAACGACGCCGTATTGAGCACACTGACTTTGGTACCTTTGCATCATTGCTGGGCACTGTTGCTGCGGAGAATGGACTTCGGGCGGAGGACTTTGAGGAAATATTTAGCAGCGACGAAAAAGTCTTGCAACAGATTAGGCAGAACATCGAGTCGCGTGAACGACCATCGCAATTCTCGGAACCTTTACAGCCAGAAGCCGATGAAAGAGAGCGTCTGCTTGATGCTGATGAATACGTCCGAGACATTGTGTATGGTGGTGTTGATGGTCTTGCGTACTTCAGGAGCTTGGCAGAATTTGTGGGCGAATATCATGGACCCTTGAAGCACGAGGGCGACATGTCGGCGCCACCTGGAGAATTGGGAATGCCCCTCGCGCAATGGGTTGCCTCTCGGATAGTCGATCCATTAACTCTTGGAAACCATGCAACTCTTCGTGCGGCTGCTGAGACACTAGCGCGTGCAAACGCTTACGGTCAGAAAGACGGGCTGGAGGAAGCGAGTGCACATGCATCGCATGCGATCGCACGATATCTCGCATTGACAAGAGAAGACAAGTCGTCAGTAATGGAGCAACTGCGCGAACTGGAAGGACTTGCAGATCCGGGGGTACAAATCGATATTTCATCGCTTTTGAGGAAGCCCGAGGAGTTGTTCCTTGCGGAGAATGAATGGACAGGTCGTGAGCGGGAGCAACAGCAGAATCAACCGTCGGGTGATGGGATTTCCGCCGAGTCTGCTCCAGCTCCGATCACGATCACGAGCGCCGGGACGGGCGTGGCTGCATTATTAGGGCTAGGCCTCGCTTCTACGTTGCCAGGGCAGAGCAATGTTCCAGATATTGCGCTTGCGAGCGGTGCATCAAGTGCGATTGAACACGCACTGAATGCAAGTGGTGAAGCATTGCGTGAGCTTGGCCGGCGGACTTTGGTTCAGGAGAGGGATGGTATTAAACACGAGACTGAAGACGACGTCGGCGACGTTGAAGATCCGTTGATGCGTCGCACGCGCTTGACGCTGATTGCGCTTGCAAAGCGAGCCCCGATCGATAGGATTGCTCGTTTACCACCAGAACTCGTCCCGGTACATATTCGCCATATTGTCCCGACGATAGGTTCATGAACGGATGTCAGTTATGTTATCTCATGCTCGTAGATAAGTGTTTACCGTATTGCTGTATTCCTGATTGACTCTGTATCGCTGTTGTCCAAATAGAAAAGCAATGTGAAATGTAGAATTATTTTCCCGCACTCCTGATAACGGCTAATAGCGGTGATAAGCTGGCTTCCAATAAAGGAAGATTAATATGGTTTATCATCTTCACTGTGCTTCTATTTTTCCCGCCAAAGGCATTCATTCCGTTCATGAAGACTAATCACTCATTATCTTCCCCCACTCCTCTCTCTTCCGGACGCCCACTTACATCCAGGTCCACTCAGACTGAAATTTGGGTAGTACAGTATGAGTGAAGAGAAAGTGCGCAATGGCACAGCATTCACAGGGGATGAGGCCGAGTTGGCGAAGATGGGATATAAACAGGAGTTGAAGCGCGATTTGGGTCTCTTGCAGGTAACTATAGTATTTTTCACTTTTCACGTTTTTGACTAACTTCTACTTTCTCACCACAGAACTTTGGCGTTTCGTTCTCGATTATTAGTGTGATTACTGGAGTTCCTTCACTTTTCTTGTACGGCTTGGTGAGTTTCCCTCTCTTGCTTATCGATTGTTCTCCTGGAGAAGCTCATATTTTTGGGGTACTCAGACGACGGGCGGTCCAGTGGTGATGGTTTGGGGATGGGTAGTTGTTTCGGTCTTTACGATGACTGTGGGGCTTGCCATGGCCGGTAACTCAAATTCCATCAAGTCGGGATTACTTCCGCTGATAATATGAAATCCAGAAGTATGTAGCGCACATCCTACAAGTGGCGGTCCTTATTTCTGGGCGGCTATGCTCTCAGAACCTCTGTACGCTCCATTCGCGTCGTGGATCACAGGATGGTTCAACCTCCTTGGTCAAGTTGCGGTGACCACGGGTATTAGGTGAGTTCTTGGGGTGAAGCACATAAAAACTCGGAAGTAATCAATCGGGTGGTGCGCGATTCGTAATGGTTTGATGTGTGTGGCACACGATTCCTTGGGCATGTGACGATAATGTGGGAAGCTTTGCATGCGCGAACTTTATATCGACGATCGCAACGTTTAATACGGATTTCGTCCCGACGGCAAGGACAACCATTGGTATATACGCTGCAGTGCTTTCTGGCCAAGGTGCGGCAAAGCTCTTACAAAAAATCAAAAATAACATAATTCTGAAATTCCATTTGAAATGAGGTCTCATTAACACGTTCGGCGTACATCTTCTGAAGTACATCAACAATTTCTCAATATGGTGGCATGCAGTAGGCACGACGGCTCTGGTGATTGCGATACTTGCAGCTGCTCCGACGCACCACTCTGCAAAGTTTGTCTTCACACAGTTCATTGACGGAACTGGCGTGGCACAGCCGGATGGTTCCACCATTGGATGGGGATCGCGCGCGAGCACAGGATATGTCGTCGTCGTCGGTATACTTATGTCGCAGTATTCTTTAACGGGTTTTGACGCCAGTGCTCATGTAAGACCTTTCTGTCTTCCAATATTTCATAAGTTTAGTACTGGCAGTGACTCATTGATTTGTTTAATAGATGACTGAAGAGACTCATAATGCGGCCATGGCCGGTTCACTTGGGATTATTACTGCGATCGGAGTGAGCGCTATCCTTGGATGGTTCCTTATTCTTGGATTATTATTTTCGATGCAAGATTACAATGCAACAGTAGGTAGTGATACGGGTGAACCAGTTGCTCAGATATTCCTTGATACTGTCGGAGAGAAAGGTGCAATCGTGTTGATGGTGATTGTCATCGGTGCCATGTTTATGTGCGGGTATGTCTGTACCAGCTATTCCAAGTCAGACAACGAAATGTCGTTCCTTAATGAAATGCCGACATGAATAGGGTATTCTCCGTTACCTCCAATTCCCGGATGATGTACGCCTTTTCGCGAGACGGTGCTCTTCCAGGCGCGAAGTTTTTCCACCGCGTCAGTGTACGTCAGAGATCTCCCGTTCGCACTGTCTGGCTCGCCTGTACTCTCAGCTTCATCCTTGGTCTTCCAAGTCTCGGAAGCCAAGTTGCGTTCAGTGCAGCAACAAGCATTGCCACCATCGGTCTATACGTCTCATACGCAATCCCTATTGCACTTCGTCTCATTTATCGAAGAAGGTTCGTAAGGGGACCGTTCCATCTCGGAAAAGCAAGTGAAGTGATTGCTGGTATCGCTGTTGCGTGGATCACGTTCATCTCGATTGCGTTCATTCTCCCGCAAGAGAACCCTGTAAATTCACAAACGTTGAATTATGCGATTGTTGCTGTGGGCATTGTGGTGACGTACTCTCTTGGTCTTTGGTTATTGAGTGCGAGGAAATGGTTCAAGGGGCCTGTGAAGCAAATCGCGGGTACGTATCTCTTTATTTCCATAATTACTTTGATCTCAGCTTAAATCCTTTTCTTATCCTTATTGGGAACTGTAGCGGAGGAGATGGGAATAGATGTGTCAGAACCGGGTGTGCTGGAACAGATCGAAGCGGAAGGGAAATTAGATAGGAAATCGAAATCATCAGAGTAATGAAATCTTTTGTTCATTGTACCCCACTTAGTATAATGCTGAACTCATATAGATCTCCTTCATCATTGCCAGGCGATATCTTCTTTTGTCTTCTGCTGCTCTAACATGACAAGAACATCAACTTCGGCTCAGGAATGACATTGAGGACGGAGACCTTACTGAACAATTACATTGTTTCAGAACGAATTAGTTTTGTTTCCTATTCTCTTTTACCATTATTGTGGTGGACAAAGAGCAGCCGGCCTTTCATAGCACAACAATGGACATGGGCTGCTACTATTCCTTCATTACTCACGAGATGAAAGAAAAGGCGACGGATATTCAACCTCGCTAATGCACCCATCGTCTATATAAACTCCACCATTTCTAGCTTCCAGACCATGGCCCCAGTAACAGTTCGCTCTGCATATATCGACGCGATTTTTGCACATTGGTGCGTCGTCGATTGTCCGAAATTTTTATGATTACGCGCTGCTGACCTCTGATAAGTTCAGGCGTTGCACTTCTCGTGTTTTAGCTAACTAACAAGAAAATACAGAAGATACGAGCAGAGATTATTATGGAGGGAAAATAAAAATGAGGAGTGGCAAGTCTGAATGACAATAATACGCTGAGCAGAGACTAACGAATAAAACAGTAATACAAGGAGAAGCTCGGGCTCAGCCGACTCGTGGTTCGAGAACGGCCGGGTATACACAAGTAGGAACCCGAAGACAAGCGTTACTAATATTCTAGCCGTGCCGGCGGAAAACACGATCATGAATGATTGTCGTCTCACTTCGGCGCAGAGCATGGGAATTCCCTGGATGTACAGGTACACGCACCAGCGGAAGGGCAGCGGGTGTGAAGCCACTGGTACTCACGGGGCGACTTCGTTCGGTGTTATCAGGAGCTGGATTTCTAAAGACGAATGCAGGTGTGTTCCGCCGCACGATGTCATCAAGGAATGACGGGCTGCAGGCCGATGTACCAGACGAGTGTCCAGTTTCTATGGATGCTCCGTTGGTCATGGCTCCAGATCCGCTTGCGGTAAGACCAATTAGTTCATTATTGTCCTGCTCCTCGACTTTTGCTAGAGGAGCCTCCGTGTCCTCGTCACGCAATGGACTAGACCTTGGTGTCCGTAACCCCGTGTCCATAGCGCTTTCCCTGATCATATGGATCAGTCCTTCCGATGGTTCTGGAGCCAAGCTCCGATGTCGGGAAAGCTGAGCAGCCTCGGGCACGTTATGTTGTACAGCGCGGGGACGGAGCCTACGCGGGCTGTTTTGGTCCGGAATAGTTGGAGCTGGGACAGGCCGACCTTCCGGAAGAGCTTGTTGATCTGTCCGACGCTTGCGTCGCGTCGGGCGAGACGGTCCAGCGTCTCCGGACGGTTGATTCCCACTTCCATTATTGATATTCTCATCTTCATCGTTTCGCTTCCGTTTGCCACCTGCGACGGGCGTAGTAGACTCCGGCAGGTCCTTTGCTTTCCCCTTTCCCTTGTCCTTGCGTCTCGCTGGTTCCGCCGCAAGATCTACTTCGGCACGTGCAGCTCTAGCAGCTGCACGTTCCGCACGAGTGGTGCGTCTAAAATGAACCACAGAGGAACTGGGGACTTCTTGTGTTTGTGCGCTTGGTTTCGTCTGAGCCTTCTTCGCTCTCTCGTTTTTGACGCGTGTGAAGCGCAAGCCCTTTCTCCTCCGTTTCTTGGGTTGGGAAGGTTTAGTCACGGGTTCTGCCGGGACTGGGTGCTCTTCCTGGTGAGGCGGCACAGGTGACCCGACTAATCAAGAAGAGATATTGAAGCTCAGTTCAAGAGTATTACAATATAATGACGGGAGAAAATACCCACCTATTGGACTATCATTAACGGAGGGGTCCTCGCTCAGCCTAGTGTCCCATGTGGCTGGTAATAGGCGAAAATACGATTCTCCGTGAATTGCAGTTGGGTTGGTAGTCCTCGAGTTGGAATATTGACACGACGAGGGCGGCTCAGCTGGGATGAGAAAGAAGTTTCGTTATGGGTTTGAGGTGGCTTGTAATTGACATTAGGCTCTATCACTCACCAATAACGCTTGAAATAGTGGAAGGCAGCTCAGTGAGAGTGCGATACCCTCGAGTTCGGATTGGAGCCTCCGAAATCGATTCCGCTTCTTTGTCATTTACGTCTAAGGGTGCACTGGCCCTCTCGGATTCGCTGCGTTGAGTAAAACCGGAGCGTGTGTGAGAGGCTTCATTGGAGTCCGTGAACACACTCAGATCATTATTGGGCTGCCCGGGGTCGAAGCTGCTGCTGCTTTTTGCTACTTTGCTTGCATCATTATCACCACCGCTCGTAGTGCCCACGCTCGCATCAGATGCTTTGTAACTGGCCCCTTCGGTTTTCCGCGTCTGCGTCATTTCTGGCGTTGGTGGCACGAACTTGTGGTTGAGGTACGGGAGCGAATAGCCTGATATGAGAACAATCGCGCAACAGTTAGTTGGGAGATATCAAGCAGGCCAGGTGGCTTGTCAAAGGCAGATTTATAGAGCCGACGCTTTGTCGTTCTGGCCCTTTATATCTATGAGCGGCCCCATTGTGGTCTACTCCTCGTTGTCTTCCTCCTTTGTGCGTGGCTTTGGTAGTTAGCCCCGAGCCACTCGTGCTCTGGCCGCCATCTCGAGCCCCTTCGCGACGGCGATAAGGTCGATATTAGATGATGAGGGAGCAGCACTTATAGCATACTGTAGCGGACTGTATGTAGGCAACGCTTACTAATGTATTATATAAGTGTAATGGTAAAATGAAAGCAACAAAGTAAGAGTGACGCGTTACAGGGTCCAAATTAAGCAACCATGGCCAAAATGAGACAGAGGTGGATTGTCTTTTGAGATTGTGAGGAGCCACTGAGCTACAAACAGGCCACACAAAGATGAAAATGATAAAAAAGCGTGAATTAAGGATCTTGAATGTGTCTTCAACATATCATCCAGCATGTCAGAGACAACACCTTCTCTGCAACTCGTGCAACCCTCGCCTTCCACATACCCTGTCTCCCAGCATTCTAATCCTGCTGTGCAAAGCAAGAACCTGCACCAAACAAAACTGCAATTCCAAGTTTGTACCAAGGAAGAGGCAGCTGAGTAACAGAGAAAGGAGGATGAGCGAGATCGAGAGAGCTGCAAGAGAAAGATCAAGTTGTATGAGGAACACAAAGCTGAAAAGAAAGCTTGTGAGAAGGAATTGAGCACTGCAAGAGTTGCTAGGTATTGGAAGAGGAAGAGAGAGGAGTGTCAGAGACTTGATACAGAGGAAAGTAGTCAGGTATGTATCTTTTGTTGACTAAAGTACATTAACAGTTGTTTATTGACTTATATTACAGGTATCTAGTGATCATCAAGAGAGTCCAACTGCTCTTCCATGCAATAACACTGTTGCTAAGGTATCCCAGGAAATTTCAGGACAGTGGAAGACACAGCGAACGGGAAAGTGGCAGGGACGTGTTCCAGGTGTTTCTAGGCGTACAAATTGGTACCATCCATTCCTATAGGATGCAATTAATTGCATTGCACCAAAGGTTGACTTCAGTCCCTCAAAAATTGTTGAGTTCTTGAAGAAAGAGAGTCTGGCACTGTACAATCAATTGAATAAGGGTACAGTCCAGAAATGGATTGCACTGTGCAGAACGAAATGGTCTGATACAACAATCTGCAATGTCCAGAACAAGCGTATCTTAGGGGGTTCTGGACGTGTTGGTGCTCTTACAAAGTACCCTGAGCTTGTTGAGGAGATTAAAACGAACTTTCTGGGCTTTCGTGCAAAAGGTTACCCACTGAATGCAGTAATTGGCCGTTCTATGATGCTTGCCATCATTGAAGCTCACAATCCAGATATCCTCACATTGAACTTCAAATACAGTGAGGTACGTATCTTATGTGTCTGTCCCTATCACAATAGTGGACATGTGCCTTGAGTATTGTCTCTCTGTCATGCTAACTAATGTACATGTTTGTATAGAAATACGTCAGGTCGTTCCTAGGATCGGTTTTGAATATGACAGTAAGGCAAGCAACTCGAGCTGCTGCACACCTACCCAAGAACTGGGAGGAGGTGTGTGAGTGTGCTTTTTTTCGTCTTGTTCATGTAGTAAAAGAGTTTGATATCCCCTCATTAGTGAGTGCTTCAGTACTATGGTTTATTAAGTATATCACTCATTTTCTTTCAAGTTAATTGTTAATATGGATCAAACAGGGGTACTATATATTCCTGGCTATAAGTACACCTACGAAAAGAAAGGTTCGAAGCAGGTAAATGTCATAGCTAAGGATGAGAAGCAAGGATACACACTTTGTGTATCTAGTACTGCTGATGGCGAACTACTGCCATTCTAGCAAGTCTACAGTGGTAAAACTGACCAGAGCCTCCCAGAAAAGAACTCTACAAATATGGAAGAGGCTCTTGGTGCTGGAATTCAATTTACAGTGGCAGCAAGTGTAAACCAGCATGATAGTCACTTCAGCACTCAGAAAACAATGAAAGAAGTGTGTACATGTGTTGTAAATCTTCGTTCTTAAACTAAATACCTCTTACAGTTCATGAAGAACATTTACAAGCCTCACTATAAGAGAGTCTTGGAAGCAAATCCATACCTGCCAAGGGACCAGTGTGCTGTCCTTTACTTGGACTGCTATCTAGTACATACGAGTGCTGATTTCTTGGATTTCTTACAATCAGAATACCTGTATGTCATCCCTTTATTCGTCCCTGCAAACTGTAAGTGTGTGAATACATTTCTTGATGACATTAGAGCTGAACTTCTGTATAGTGAAGGCACTCCTGTATTCCAACCAGCAGACGTTGGTCTGCAGCACATCCTCAAACACTAATTGAAACAACATGCACTTCAAGGAATGATCCAGCAATACTACAGCCAGATAGTAAAGGGCATCCCTCTTGAACAAGTAGAAATATTAGACAAGATCAAAGTACTACACAATGCTACAGTATTGGCTGTATTGAGTGTATGGAACTTCATGAATACACTAAAGGGGCATGAAATCATTAGAATGGTAAGAATCTTTGATTTCATTCAGTATATTGCCTTCTAACTTTCATTTATATATTACTCAGGCCTGGAGGAAATGTGTTGTTAAGGAATGGAACTTATCTGGCTCTATGCTTTCAGACCTCAAAGCAAGAGCAGCATTGCACAATTATATTACTTAGGACAAAACTCTACAAGACGAGATTTTTAATAGGACTGGGCAGGAATTTCTGATTATTATTGATGGTACTGAAGACAGTAACAAAGACAATACTGATGATTTATTTGATGATGATACTGCAGTACCTCTTGCTTCAATCATTAAGGAGACAGTTGGAGTTGATGTTGGGAAAGAATACAAGTTTATTAATGACTACTGTGGAACAATGGATTCTATTGAGTATTCCAACAATCCTGACCATCCAGGCTTTGTCTCAAGTAATCTGGAGGAGAATATATGGTATTACTCAAATGACAGTGTCCTTTGGAACCAGTCTTAGAGGTTTGTGAACTGGTCCTTCTGCTTGTCTATGCAATTTACTCAACAACATTCTGTTGACAGCTCTTATTATTTAGATGCTAGACAGCATACTCAGGCAATTAGACTTAGATTTTTTTTTTGTTTTAAATGAAAAATATCATATTTTTTTTGTACTATGCTACATAGGTTGAGCACTGGCAACAAGTACTCTGTTACCTGTTACATTACACTAAATAAGTAATGCAACAGGTCTACAGTTACCCATTACTGTTGCCTACATACAGTCTGCTACAGTACATTCCTCTATTGTATGTCTTCTTCAAGAAAAAGGCTGATTTGAGGATAGAATAGGAGTGCTTATTGCTACAGTAGGTTGTTTCAAGGAGCCATGGAGATGATCAGCACTCAAACATAGACATAGACTAACTGTGCATTATGTAATTATTGAACAGTGTTTTGATTGTAGTGCAGCTTTACACTATGAAGACTCATACCATCACATACTTAGCTCTGTATCAATGCTGACTCGTTCACACTTTACTCTGTGTGGCTAGAACCTACATAAGAGCTTTGCTCCTGCAAAGGTACTTATAAAGAAAGTCCTACTAAGTATAATTGCATTATATAGATATATTTATTTATCTACTATATAAGGAAGTTGTGTCAAATAATATTGGACATGTACATATACCTATCCTCAAACAGTACATTGTATCTGATAGCTTCAAGAGAGTTGCATCTTACTTTGCTTGTTATGATTCATTATAAAGGGCACTGTTACTTCAGGCCCACATAAATCTCAAGACAATAACAACTGTGAGGCAGAAAAATTTAAATGTGATTACTAAGCAGCACAAAAGTTTATGTTTGAGAACCTTGACAACTCTGGCAATGTTGGAGAAGTCATGTCCACCTTCTGAGATTTTGATAACTGTATGAGGGGCAAGGGAAAACAAGGTAGCTAAGGTTGATTAGGAGTACTATACATTAGCTATTATACATTTAATGTGTAGTAGCTAAAACTATATAACCAAATTCTAGTTTACAAGAACAAGACAGTATTTAAATATAAAGTGTGATGCAGCTTAATAATACTTATATTATAATATAAATGCCTTAGATTTTCCACATAAGTTTATACATTTAAGTCTAAATGCCTGACCTGAATCAGTTTAAGTTAGTACAATATTGTTCCTGTCCAAATCACTGTTTCTGTCATATGGATAATATGAACTTTGTAAAGTCTGACCCTTACTGTAGCTATTCAGATCATTTTCTACAGGTATCAACTCAGATTAGGAATAATAGGGTTAGAAAAATTTATTTTAATATTGTTAGCTTGATACTTTCACAGCTTTACTCCTTAAATAGTCATCTTCCTATTTTGTATAAATCTCATCAATATTAACTTGATTTTGGCTTGTTCTATGTCCTTCTAAGAAGCTTTGCCTCCTTTATACTACTGTAAGAGGAACTCATTTCAATTAATATTATATATAGTATAGGTGTTAATTTGTTGAGCTATATAATAACTTTGACACATTGTCAAAGTAATATCCTACCCTTTGCTCTATTGTAACCAGGTATAAGGTATAAAAGGGTGAGTAAAAGTGGCTCATTCTCCTCCCCCTACACTACTCTGTATACAACTATGGCAGACTGGTATTCAAGTACTAGTAGGAGAAGTAGTAGAGGTCCTACTACTGATTCTACTTCTAAGCAAAGTAGTAATGGATCCAAAGAATATGGTTCTGGTAGTGATTCTAAAAACCAAGACAATAAGGGCACTTATTATGAGATGATTAGTTTATTAACAGACAAACCACAAGACAATGACTTCATAATGTCTCAGTTAGAATACATACAATATAAGGATGAGAGACACTGAGTAGTCAATCATCACCTCACCCCTTGTCTATGTGTGCCCCCCTTTAAGTTTTCCCTCTTAACAGGTTATGAGTCTTGAGCTCCCTACATACATGCATCCACTGTACACTTTAAACTCTTTACTTGTATACATTTGCACACATTTGCATCATGGTTCCCCCACATACAGATACGTGCTGTAAACCAGCTGATGTACCTAAATACTTCAGTCAAAACATCACAATACTTAAGACTGAAGCAAACTACAAGATGTGGCACTACCACATTGTTTCTAGTGTTGCAGCTACATACTTCAAACACTTACTAAAGGATGAACTGCAGAACAAAGCCAAGAGGGAGATGGCTAAGGCTATTCATACATGTATAGTCAATAACATTGCCAACACAATATTGGCAAACTATATACACTTCAATACATCTATCCCTCAGTTAATGAAAGTGCTTGAAGAATGCTTTAACCCTCAGACAGCATGTAAAAAGGCTATCAACAAATCAGCACTGTTTATTTGTAGAGACTATGTAAAACATTTTGAACATACATTAGACAGACTTGAGGAAGCATATGCAACTCTGTCTGCTAACAGTGATCCACCATGTGACTCTACATACAAAGCAGCAATATTGCTTGCCACTCCTGAGCAATATACACACATAGTAAATACAATAATACAATCTACTGATGCCCAAAACAAAGGCAAACCAGTCAATGAACATAAGAAAGTCAAACTGAAGCAACTAATCCTTACATTACAGAATGCCTACAATGATTACTGTACTAAACAAGTACAAGATTCCAATGATCAGACAAAGAATAATGTACACATTAATACAATGTATAAAGCCAATAAGCAGAGGAAATTCAATCTACCAAATCTGTTCAATCTGACAAAAGCAAAATGTTTCAATTGTGGAAAAACAGAACATTTCTCTAAGAAATGCTGCAAACCTCCTACTGAAGCTACAAAGCTTGCATGCACCAAACATCAGGCTAACATTGTGTATAAAACGAATCAAACTGTAGAAAACATGACAAACACATTTATTATTGAAAACCCAAACAAAAACAATGTTGAATTAAAGGAAGGCAATGTTGAAATGAACAATAATGCCTACACTCTTATTCCAAGCAACCAGGACAAACAATTCGAACAATACGTTTCCTGGGTATGTACCAATGTATTTACAAATACAATCATAGCTAACAAGAAATCCTATACACAAACGATGGATTTACTCGATTCTAGTGTATCAATACATGCTACTCCTTATTTATTTCGATTAATGGATGTACACAACATAACTCCTACAATTGTAACTATTGCAAATAGGTCAACAATGACTCTTAATTGAGCTGGATCTATGTGTATCGAAATCCTGAAGAATATACAAGAAAAAAGTGTCATAACATTACAAAACATCTATTACTATCTACAAATGACCTTTTCCCTCATAAGTCAAGTACTACTATGTAGGGAAGGTTATTCTTTTATGTTTACAAACAATAATTGTACTATAACATCACCATGTAATGAATACATCAGACATATATGATTGAGAAATAACTTGTATATTTTGTACAATAATCATTTATTAAAAACAATGAACAAACTATCTATTTATGATATACATAAATGCCTTGGACACATAAGTTACAATTATATTAAACGATTATTAAAGACACAACCAAGTGTACTATCAACTAAAATAACAAACTACAAAGAAAAAGAATGTATTGAATGTATAAAAGCAAATATCAAATGTACACCAATACCAAAACTATGTCAATCTCCTCTTACAAATCAATTTGGAGATCTTATTCATATTAATATTATT